CGCTGCACGTCACGTGGCAACGCTAGAGCGGGAAGCATTCGATTTCATCATAACCGTCTTGCGGCGAAGCTGGCGGGCAGAAGACATTCTACTCCACTGCGCCAGCCGTGGGGCAACGCAGGGGGGCTACAAACACCATGACACAGGGGGATGAAACACGTAATCCATTCGATTCGCCACCTGCCAGCGTAGAGAGGCGACGTACATAAACATCTACTCTATAAGTGTGGTGGCAACGCAATGGGGCTGAGAAATTACCTCCACTTGGTTTGTCACGTGGCAATGGAGTGGGCGCGGACAAAATACGATTCCATTTTGCCCGCCACATGGCCATTCGGGGGTTCGGGGGTGGTGGTGGTGGCTGGGAAAACACGATTCTACATTATTCGCCGCGTGGTAACCCTGGGGGGCGAACACATGCAATCCGCCCTAGGTAGAGGGGTCAAACAAATACACATCTGAGCTACTGATCGCGTGGCAACGCACATTGGCTGATCAACCAATTGCTACATGTATTCGTCACGTGGCAGCGCAGGAGGGCGAACACGGGGGGTCCCTGGCTAAATGGGAGGGGGGGTTGGAAGCTACCCCCTTTTTTTCGGAGCCTGGGGTAAGCTGGGGCTCCCCTTTCCAACAGGGGGGGGGCTTCCGAAGCTATCCCCCCCTCCCCCCCTTTTGTTGGCTTTTCCAGCCGGAGGGCCCTGGCTGAAGGGGGGGTTCGAAGCTACTTCCTTCTTTGGTTTTCGGCGCCCCGTTGGTTTGCGCCGTACTTCTGGTTGTGGTTTTCAATGTCTCTTTGGTTTTCGGCGCTTTTTTGGTTTTCGGCACGGCGATTCCTTGATTTTCGGCGGTCCTTTGGTTTCTGGCGCTCCTTTGGTTTTCGGCGCTACTCTGGTTTTCAGCGCTCCTCTGGTTTTCGACGCCCTTTTTGGTTTTCTGCGCACCCTTTTTATGGTTTTGGGCTCATCGTTGGTTTTCGGCGCCCTCTTGGGTTCCGGCGCTCCTTTGGTTTTCGGCGCCCTCTTGGTTTTCGGCGCCGATTTGGTTTTCGGTGCCGCTTTAGTTTTCGGCGCGGTTTTGGTTTTCGGCGCCCTTTGGTTTTCGGCGCCCCTCTGAATTTGGGCGCCCTTTGGCTAGCTGCGCGCCTTTCGTTTTTGGCGTCCTCTGGTTTTCGACACCCTTTTGGTAATCGGCGGGTCTTTGGTTTTTCGGCGCCCTTTTGGTTTTCGGCGCATCGCTGGTTTTCGGCGCTCCTTTGGCTTTCGGAGCCTCTTTGGTTTTGTGCGCCCCCTTGGTTTTCAGCGTCCCTGTGGTTTTTAGCGCTCCTTTTGTTTTCGGCGCCCCTTTCGTTTTCGGCGCCCTGTAGGTTATCGGCGCCACTTTGTTTTTGTTGGTGCGCTTTTGGTCCAGCGCATCGTTGATTTTCGGCGCCCCTTGGGTTTTTTGGGTTTCTTTTGGTTTTCGGCGCCCCTTGGGTGTTCGGGGCCCCTTTGGTTTTCGGCGCCCTCTTGGCTTTCGGTATCCTTTTGGTTTTCGGTATCCTTTTGGTTTCCGGCGCATCTTTGGTTTTCGGCACACTTTTTTGCGTTCGGCGTTTTGTTGGTTTTCGTCTTCCTTTTGGTTTTCTGCGCCCCCTTTGTTTTCGGCGCTTCTTTTGGTTTTCGGCGCCCTTTCGGTTTTCGGCGCTCCATTGGCTCTCGGCGTCCTTCTGGTTTTCGGCGCCGTTTTGGTTTTCGGCGCTCCTTTGGTTTTTCGGCGCCGTTTTGGTCTTCGGTGCCCTTTTAGTTTTCGGCGCTCCTTTGGTTTCCAGCAGTGTTTTGGTTTTCGGTGCCCTTTTTTTTCTGTGTTGGCGACCGTTTCATTGTCGGTTCTCTCCTGGTTTTCGGCGCCCCTTTGGTTCTGGGGATCTTCTTCAACTTCGGCGACACTTTGGTTTTTGGCGCCCTCTTGGGCTCCGGTACTTTTTGGTTTTCGTCGCCCTTTTGGTTTTCGGTTTTGCTCTGGTTTTCGGCGCTCTGTTGCTTTTCGGCATTTTTTTGGTTTTCGGCGCCGGCTGGCTTTCGGAGCCTCTTTTATTTTCGGCGCTGCTCTGGTTTTCGGCGTTCGTTGGTGTTTGGCGCCTTTGATTTTTCGGCGCCGTTTTGCTCTTCGGTGCCCTTTTGGCTTTCGGCGCCCTTCTGGTTTTCGGCCCCCTTCTGGTTGTCGGCGCGCTTTTGGTTTTCGGCGCCCCTTTGGTTTTCGGCGCTCCTTTGGGTTTCGGTGCTCCTCTGATTTTCGGCGCTCATTTGGTTTTTGGCGCCGTTTTGGTTTTCGGTGCCCTTTCGGCTTTCGGCGTTTCTTTGGTTTTCGGTGCCCTTTGGTTGTTGCCCCTTTCGATTTTTGGTGGATCTTTGGTTTTCGGCGCTCTGTTGATTTGCAGCGCTCCGTTGGTCTTCGGCGCTCCGTTAGCCAAGGCGGGGTAGGGGCTTCCAGGCCCCCCCCCTTGGCCCAAAAGGGGGGGGGGCTTCTGGCAGGGGAGGTTCAATGGGGGAGTGTAGCTAAGCCCCCCCCCTTTTGGAAAGGGAGGAGGTGGCGGGTAGCTTCCAGAGCGCGACGGGGGGAACTTCCGAGGGGCGGGAAAAATGAAACGGTGGGGGGGCTTCGTGCAGGGGAAGTTCAAGGGGGGGAGGCCGGTAGCTAAGCCCCCCCCTTTGGACAGGGAGGGGCTTCCGGAGCTTCCCCTCGGAAGCCCCCCCCCTTTGGACAGGGAGGGGGGTGGCTTCCGAGGGGCGGAAATAAAAGAGGAGGGGGGGGGGGCTTCCAGCAGGGCAGGTCAGAGGGGTGGGGGGTCGCTGAGGGGGGACCCCCCCTTTGGGAGTGCGCCACGGGCGCGCTCTCTCAGCACAACGGCTGAGAGGATCATATCATTTCACTTTTATTCGTCACGTTGCAACGCAGGGGAGCAGGAGCCACTCAATTCCACTCTGCTCGCCACGTGGCAACCCAGAGGGGCGAAACACATGCACATCTCTTCTATCCGTCACATGACAGCGCAGGGATAAGGGCGGAAAACATACTATTCGGGCCGAGTGCGGCAAATTCGATTCTAAAAAGCTCAACGCGTGTCAACGCAGAGGAGCGAAACAAGCGCATATCCGGTCTATCCGTCAGGCGGCAATGCTTGGGGGACAGTAGTCACATACCACGTTTTCTTATCTTTTCGGCACGTTGCAACGCAGGGAGACGAACACATATTTTCCCACTCGGCTGTTTCACATGTCAACATAAAGGGGGGCGAAACTATATTGTATTTCCCAATCTCATTCATCACGCGGCACTGGATGGGTACGGACAGATTTCGAGTCGAAGGGCGTACAGCATCCTGGATTTCATACCTGATTTGTTACTTCGGGGTTTGAAATGTTTGTGCCTGGTTAGGAAAGCACGTTTCCGGGCCCTCCGTGCGGGACACCCTCAGAACATGTTGGCAGGCTAGATGGTTGGTTGGCGGCTTGCTTGGTTGGTTGCTTTCCCGATTCATTGGTTGATTGGTTGGTTGGTTGATTGGCTGGCCGGTTGGTTGGCCGGTTGGTTGATTGATTGATTGATTGGTTGGTTGGTTGGTAAGTTGGTTGGTTGGTTGATTGGATGGTCGGTTGATTGGCAAGGCGCGTGCCCACCCAGCGGGACCGAACCATAAGTATCCCACGTTTCGTTGCACATTGAAGCGCAAGCGCCGACAAGCGGGGTCCGAGGGCAGCGTCCAGCGTGCATGCTTCGAGGATTTAAGGAGTGATCCCCAACCGAACGCCGCAAACCGTACGTCGCGTCGCACCAGGGGGGGGGACAACCCAGGAGAGGCGAACCCATACTATCCCACATTGTTTTCCAATGGCAACGCAGGCGTCGGCGCATGACGAATGGGGGTGGCGTCTGGGGGGCAGGCTCGGGGAGACGGAGTGCCCGCGCCCACCTCCTGCTGTCCTGAGTCCAGGGTATCGGGCCAAGAGCCGACGGCCACCAGCAAATTTCAGCGCACGTCTCATACGGATCGGAACGCTGGAGGACGGGAGAGGTAGTTTCTTGACACGATGATCTGAAACAAAACATTGATTACATACTATACCCACCCCATGAATTTCCATGACCCTGGAGGTTTGGAAAATTCAGCCCTGAATTCATGGCTTCTGCGTGCAGAATGGCCCATACCTTATGATTTGGCTCCCCACTGGGGGCTCCAGCCATGGCCACAGTGATGGGGCCTGCAGCCAGACAAGCTCCCCTGACGCGTGTGGCCAGGGGGGCCCAGCCATGGAAACACACACTGATACAGGTGCCGCTTCCAGAACGGCCCGCGTTTCACTTACTCCGCACCTATCTAAAGTCAGTTCTCAATTGTTGAGGCCGCTTGCTTTCCTCACATCTGGCGAGGCCCACCGACTACGCGTCATGCGCCCCCCGTAGGTAATCCAAATGGGGCGTCAATGTCACTGGGGACGCTAAGTGGTTCGGCATCCAAACTTGCATTGTCTTGTTGTTTTCGAGCCCCCTCCAGGACTTGAATTCTAAAGATCGCGCGCCTTCTCTTTATCGACAGCGATTCTCATTTCCCGCATTTCGAGCCCCTTGTAGGGAGCCCCCTTGGGCTTCAATGGCAAGAGGTGCGCATGTTGGCCTGCGCCCCATAATCGTTCACTCTTGCATGGTCTGCGGCGTTATAGACGCTAGAGACAGACCAACTCAGGGTCAGAAGCACAGGGTTAGCATACCTGTCGCCGATGCACTACTCGACCCTTACGCGTTTCGCGCCCCGTAGGGAGCCTTAAGCCCTGACTATGTAGTGAATGGTGGGATTCGCGTACCCTTGTTATGCATCACCATTTTATGCGTCTGCCCTAGCCAGGGGTTCCAGGAAATCTTGGACCGTGTGCGCAACAAGGTGAAACAACACATTCGCACAGGAAACACGCACGTAGTATAATTGTCAATCCCTGGGTCGGCCTATGCCCCTGATGCGCCAGGCACGGCAAGACGCCCGCGACCGCAGAGTCGCCTCCGTTGCCTTGGCAGCCATCAGCAGCAAGGTGCCACCGCCACATTGTCTTCCTTTTGGGTTTGCGTACTTGCATCCGCTTGCAGTGAGGGTGTTGGGGTGTTGTGCTGATACGGGCCCAACTCACAGAGCTTCCCCCCCCGTCTTGGTCATGTCAAGCGTCTGGGAGTGGCGTCAGCATGCATGGTGCAGGACGACTTCCCCCAAGACTAAACCAGCGCAGGAGAAGTGAGGAGGATGGGGGAGTACAGCGGATGCGGGGGTGGAAGATGGGAGACAATTCCAAAGGGAACGCCAGGCATCTTCTTGCTAAATCGAGGTACTTCTACATGTTGCAAGCATGGTGGTGGGGACGCTGGGTACTCCTGAAATCCAGTAGCATCAGCGCTGCAACGACACATTTGGGATGCGATGTAGAGGCGTACTTATCTTCGGCCATTCTTCTTCGCCTCGCCTTTGCAGCTGCAACTGGGCGATGAGAATCGTACCGGCCGGGTGGGAAGACAGGACGCTGCTAAGTAGGTGGGGAGCCGGCCCAGGAGGGCTCAAAGCAAACGGTATCAGGGCGAAGGCCATGATGGTTTCCACGAGTTTGCTCATGGGAGCTTTCTCAGCCCACCAGGCAGAGGCCACGACGAGGAACATTGTCCGAACTCGGTTATGACACGCGCGTCATTTGTTTCGCTAGCGCCTGTGAAAGCAATGCCGTTGCCCAAGCCCCACATGATTGTTCAGGAGCCCACATGCCAATCCGAAAACGGTAGCTTTAACCAGAACGTGTGTTGCAATGGGTTGCATTACGGCGACGCTGGGGTTTCCCGTGTTGTCCTTGTGGTTCGTTTCTCTTTGTTATTTCTCATGTTGGTTTCCGCGACGGTGGCGTGTTTTTGTTGGTTGGTGCTCTGATTGCCATTTCAAGTGGTCGTAGAGTTTCTGCTCCCAACCATCCTGTGGTGTTGGGTCCTCGTTTTGAAGAGACAGCGCCCCGCGTCACCTCCCCCTCCTCCCGCTGCCCTCTCCCTCCTCCTCCTCATCGTCACCATGAGCATCATCCCACCTATTCTGTCACACCCCTCACACGGTTCGTGGCCCCACAGGGAGCTCCACCGAAGGCCCCAGTGGCACAGGCCGCATGCGGGGGCCGCGCCCATTTTGGCACACCCCTCACACGGTTCGTGGCCCCACAGGGAGCTCCACCGAAGGCCCCAGTGGCACAGGCCGCATGCGGGGACCGCGCCTAATTTGGCACACCCCTCACGCGGTTCGTGGCCCCACAGGGAATTCCACCGAAGGCCCCAGAGGCACTGGACGCATGCGGGGACCGCACCCATTTTGGCACACCCCTCACACGGTTCGTGGCCCCACAGGGAGCTCCACCGACGACCCCAGTGGCACTGGCCGCATGCGGGGACCGCACCCATTTTGGCACATCACACGGTTCGTGGCCCCACAGGGAGCTCCACCGAAGGCCCCATGCGGGGGCCGCGCCCATTATGGCACACCTTTCACACGGTTCGTGGCTCCACAGGGAGCTCCACCGAAGGCCCCAGTGGCACAGGCCGCATGCGGGGACCACGCCCATGTTGGCACACACCTCTCACACGGTTCGTGGCCCCACAGGGAGCTGCACCGAAGGCCCCAGTGGCACAGGCCGCACGCCGGGACCGCCACCCATTTTGGCACACCCCTCACACGGTTCGTGGCCCCACAGGGAGCTCCACCGAAAGCCCCAGTGGCACAGGCCGCATGCGGGGACCGCCACCAATTTTGGCAGACCCTTCACACGGTTCGTGGCCCCACAGGGAGCTCCACCGAAGACCCTTGTGGCACAGGCCGCATGCGGGGACCGACCCCATGTTGACACACCCCTCACACAGTTCGTGGCCCCACATGGAGCTCCATCGAAGGCCCCTGTTGCACAGGCCGCACGCGGGGACCGCCACCCATTTTGACACACCCTTCACGCGGTTCGTGGCCCCACAGAGAGTTCCACCGAAGGTTCCAGTGGCAGACCGCATGCGGGGACCGCCACCCATTTTGGCGGGCTCCCCCTCCTGAGCCCGTCTGGGTGTTTCCTGGGAGCCTCGTGAGCCCTGAATCTGCCTCGAATGCCTGATTGGGCGGGTCTTGGGGTGCCTCTTGTGCCGTCTCGGAAGTTCTGTAAACCAGCAACGCCGATCATGCCAATGTTTCACACACAGTACATATAGTTTGGGCATGAGTTCGTTTCTTGTGTTGGCTCCCACGAGGCTCTCAAGAGAGCCCCAGCACGGCCCCCTGGCGCTACCGAGGGTTCCTGAGCCGTGTCGAGCGTTTCTTGGTCCGCTTGGGAGGGTGTAAGCGCCCCAGAGCGTTCAAGAACGACCAATAACTCTGGCAGGTCGATGGTACTGGCCCCGAATAGTCTTACAATCCTTGAGCCGTTCCCATATGTATGAGCCTGTGGGCGCTCCACTAATTTTCAAGGCACGGTGGATTTTTATGCGTGCTCTCTGGATTGTCTGGCTAGGAGGTCGAGGTCAGGCTTGGGCAGAGCTGCGGCGTTGAGAACCGCAGCAGACTCATAAGGGTGAGAAGTGGATTAGCAGATGATGGGAGGGACTGGGCGAGAATGATCACGAGCGGCGGGAAGGAGGGGACGTGTTATGAAAATGGGGCGAGGACCGCGAGACTTGAAAGCAGCCAAGTCGCCGCGAATGTTCCCAGCCTCTGGGGCTGCGGGCAGGGAATCAACGCAGAGAGGCGGGGAGGAGAGACGAGGGCGGAGATGCATGGACGTGATCTCAGGAGGGGGGGTGGGAGGGAGAATCTGAGGAGGAGTGAGAACAGAGGAGGGGGAGGAGGAGGAGGAGGAGGAGGAGGAGGAGGAGGAGGAGGAGGAGGAGGAGGAGGAGGAGGAGGAGGAGGAGGAGGAGGACCAGAGTAAACCCAGGATGCGTCAACGAGGCTGCAGCCCTCCCTCCCGTCCCAAGCACTTTCTCACAAGGCCTTGCAGGCGCTCTTGCCCACTGCGGCAAGCTCCACGCTGAGTGACGAGCGCCCGGTGGGCCTGCCACTCCGGCGAGACCCCGCATTGGAAAGGATCCGCAGCTCAGCCTTCGAGTGGAGCATACGGGCAGGAGAGGCAGCACCCAATGCGGAGAGGCAGCATCCAGTGCGGAGAGGCAGCACCCAATGCAGTTCGAGTAGGCGGCGCGCGATGGCACCGAAGGGACACATAATACGGCAGGTTCGCGTCGTGCCGACCGGCGGCGACCCCAGCGCGTGCGTGTAAGGTTGAACGCCGCCCGTGGCCCAGAATCGGCCCGTCGTTCAACGATCCGGCGTTCGCGGAACGGCCGATCGTTCAAGTTTGAACGATCCCCGCGGTGTCAGGAACCAGCGCAGGGGTCGATACGACGCGAACTTGCCGTACGACCGCCATCCGTGCAACGTTTTGAGCCAGAGTCTCATTTTGAAAAGGAGTTGCTGTCCATCCGTGCAGTTGTTGCACAGCGTGTCATGCCGGGCCGCAGATCTTGAGGAAGTCTCAAGCAAGAGCTAGTAGCTTTTTTGTTGCTAGTAGCTTTCCAAAGGAAGTCTCAGACCAGCGTCCATCCTTTTTGTTGCTAGTAGCTTTCCAAAATACTGCGCGCTGCGTCAACACGAGGGCCACTTATCGAGAACTCACCGGCCCCGATTGCAGTAGCTGTCAGATGTGTGAGGTGAATGTGCGCGGCGCTACCTTTTGGAGGCGACTGGCCCTGATCCTTGTAATCGCTACACGTGTTCAAGACTGATGCCCGCTGATGCGAGAGCCGCATCTTGGAAACGACCGGCCTTCCTCTTGTAGTTGTTGTCTTTTGTCTGTCGTATCCTGCTTCGTAAGTTCTGAGGACGTGTCAGGCGAAACGCCCGAACTTGGCCAACGGACACGTCTTGCGTTGCGACAAGGGGGAAGTTATTTACCAGGATGGACGAGGTGCGAGTAGTCCGAGGCGCAGCCTAGTCGAGACGGGAGCGCAGAAGAAAACACGAGAGGAGGCGGCCCAGGCCGCACAAGAACATGACATGGAACGCGCTCAGGACGGCGCCCCTGCGCGCTATGCGGCGGGACCCCCTACCGTTCCCCCATTACCGCCACCTCCCGCCACCGGCCCCAGCGGCACGAGCATGTCCACTGCGACCGGGATGGGAGTGCCAGGGGCCCCTCCGCACACCTTGAGTAAGGATTCTGGTGTGCCCCGCCGCGGCGATGGACCTGCCCGCCGCGTGGATCGACCCAACAGCGCCGCGCGTCCGTCGCCCCTGGCATCGGCACGCCGCGTCGGAGCCAGCGATGCGAGCCTGAGCACCAATGGACTGGAGGCATGGAGGAGGAGTATGAGGAGAATGAGGAGGGATGAGGAGGACGAAAGATGAGCAGCAGCAGGAGGAGGAAGGAGGCGGAGGAGGAAGAGGAGGATGAGGGAAGAGAGGGAGGAGGAGGAGAAGCAGGAGGAAGAAGAGGAGGAGGAGGAGGCGGAGGAGGAGGGGGTGAAGGAGAAACGGGTGAAGGAGGAGGAGGAGGAGGAGGCAGGAGGAAGAGGAGGCATAGGGTAGGTTGCGGATGGGGAGGACGACGACGAGGATGAGGAGGTGGATGGGGCCCTCGAGCTCAGGTGGCGGACCTCGAGTCCACTGCGCAAAAGCTGCAGGAGGCACGGGCGGGCGCCGGCGAAATTCTAGAAGCGCTGGCCCAACTCCTGGGCGGATGCCAGGTCACGCAAGGGGGCGGAGCAAGGGGGGCGGCATCTAAGAAGGCGGGGGGGCTTCTTAACGGGGCCTCGACCACAGCATGGAGTTCTGGTACCCCTGGACCGTGACTCCGACCATAAGATCGCCCCCCCCCCCCATCCCGACGGCCTAAGACCGGCCCCAGACGGCCAACGATGCTCAGAAGGCGGCCCGAGTGGCCTTGGGTAAAGCCCAACAAGATTTCAAGGCTGCCCCGAAGGCTCCCACGACGCCCCAAGAGTGGTCCACGAAGGCTCCCACGAGGCTCCGTAGATGTCCAAATCATTGGCAGCCGTTTTGGTTTACATATGAGTTCAGCTTTGAAGCGTGGAGAAAGCAGTGGCAGATGCGGAGAGTGTTCTTGCAAGGGGAGGCTCTCTTAGCCACATGCTCACAACAAAAACAAAGGTCCATGACCTTACCGCATTCCTGCCTTTTCGGTTTTGGGAGCGCCAAGGCCGGCCCAAGAGGCTCCCAAGATTGGCCCTAACCTGCCAAAGAGGGGCCCAAAGCGGCCCAAGAGGGCCTAGGGGCGGGCGTCGAGAGCCCCAATACATTTCAAGAGGCCCTAGGCGGCTCACGAGAGCCCCAGGAAGGCCCTGAAGAAGGCCTAAGAGGGCCTACGAGATCGCCTAAGAGGTCCTCCCCGGAGAGCCCAGGGACAGCCACGAGACGACAGCCATGTGAAGAAGGCCCACACGGGCCCTCCGAATTTTACTGCAGTCGAGTGAGATGTTCCATTGTTTATCGGTCACGCGTGCGCTGCGTTTCCATTTCATTTGGCCACGTCAGCTCTTTCCAACGGCAGGGGGACGGCAGTGACTCACCGCTGGCCTCTTCGATGCGCCTCTTCTTGGCCCTTATGTTCCTTATCCTCCTCCCTCCTGTTCAAGACGTCCCGTCTGCCCTGAGGCTCTTTTTGATGTTTGTCGGCTTGCGTCTAGGAAGGCCTCCGGGTGACCATTGCGCGGTCCCTCTTCAGCGCTATGCCAGCTACAACTCTCGACAACATTAATTTCAAACATTGTTCACGCACCCCTGCAACGTCGCCCGCTTTCGGCTCTTCAATCTCGTCCCCGTCAGTGTCGAAGCACAGCGAAACGCGATCTGGGCCCGCGCGACTCGAACATTCCACGATGACCGACATTGCAGGGGGGCGGGGGGGCGCCAACCAGTATTCCAACGCAATTGCACCCACTGCCAGAATATCACGTATACTCGTAAAAAATCGCGTCGCGCACTTTGGAGGTGGATTGTTTCGAGGTAGCAGCTCGAACTTTATCGCGGGCGATACGTATAGTCTTACAAGGCGCGGGTTTCCGAGAAGAGCCTTTCCGAGACGCCTCCCTGCCTTCTAAGAATATTTTCTTTCTTTCTTGGGAGTCCGCCCCCGTTGCCCCACCCGCTTGTGCGTGCCGCCATCAAGATGAGATGGGAGGAGAGATGCTACCAATCATGATCGATGACCTAGGACGCAGGCTTGTGATGCATTAGGCTTGTGTGCCAAAGGATGCCTTTGGAGACATCTGGACCCCCCCCTGGGAGATTCTGGAGACATCTGGGGACCTCCGCGGATGAAGATGAGGACCAGAGCGAACCGAAGATACATCAACGATGCTGCAACGCAACCTTTTTCCCAAGTCCACGCAATAGGAGCTCCTGCAACTATTTTCCTATCTTAAGGGAAGCGCCTCCCACCGGACTTTCCCTCCGGGCGGGTGCCCCTCTTAGAAAGTAACCGCCCTCCCCTATTGTAGTTGTTAGTCATCTCGCGATGCCAGATTTTAACTTTCAAGGCAGCATCAAGGGATAACCCCGGCTTGTTCATAAACAGCCCGTCGACCCGTGCAGCCGTGAAGTTGTTGTGCATTAAATGAAGTTGAAGCCATACCGGGGCAGGTCACAGAGGATTCTTATCTTTTCGTGAGCAGGGAGCCAACGACCATTTGTACACATGTTTCGCATGCTTGGGATTCGTATCGCAAGCCACGAGAATGTTTGAATCGATTTCTACATGTTGAAAAGGAGTTGTATATCGTTAGTGTAAACGAAGCAGGACGTTCGGGCTGGTGTGCGCGGCGCTCAGGCGAGAGCCACGTTTTGACAACGACTTGCCCTCAACTCATGTGGCTGGTGCAAGCTTGTACAGCGAATGTGTGCGGTGCTGAGGCGGGAACCGCATTTTGAGCACGACCTTTGCTAGCTTCGTGCAGCAGCTGCAACGCCTTAGCCGCATGCGCGCGGCGCTAAAGTTAGAATCGCATTTGGGAAACGGGCCCTTCAAGCATCCGTGCATCTATCGGACATCACGCTCCAGGGTTCCAAATTGAGAGGAGATCTTAGGCGAATCGCCTGGCCCGCCCCGCCGACATGTCTGGTGGCACGACGAGGCTGACCATGGATGTCCTCAACCCGTGATTTCGTTTGGGACTTCGCACTTGTGCTGTAAGGAACCTGTCCCGTGGGTGGCCATTTTTCAGGTGGGTTGTTGGTGGTTTGGGCCCCTAGGGCTATACACCCCACTGCCCCTGTTGGTCACCCTTTGGTTAGCTCCTACGGCTTAGGCTGCTATTGTTTCCCGCCCCACTAGCCCTTTATTCGTGTCTTTCTTGTGGTTGCTTGGGCTCATATGGCTTGGGCTGCTTTAGCTTCCCGCCCCACTCTCTCCCTCGTGGCTGCTTGGGCTCGTGCAGTTTGGACTCCTCAATGACTCAATAACTTCCCGCCCCCATTTCCCTGTCTGCCTTTCTCGTTTGGGTGTCTGCTTGGACCCCGACGGCTTGGATCCCTACGTCTACGGCTTCTCGTCCCACTGGCTCTGCGTGTCGCATTGCTTTTGCCCCCAGCGCTGGCAGATTCCCCACAGATGGCGTTTCACACGCATGGAGATCTGCACACACACAAACATGAGGTTCTTCACGAATGGGTCTCTATCAGCGTGGGTGGATCCACACACATGCACACACCCGCCCGAAGTCCGCAAACACACATGTTCCTCCTCAAGCGAAGTAGATCGCAGTCGCGACGGAAGCAACCTGGACACGCAGGCTAAATTGTTTTCTGGCGTGTGCCGAAAGCGCTCGAGCCGAAGCCTTTGGATCCTTGGTAAATGACAGCTTCTATAGGCGAGCAGCACGAAGCAAGACGCGGCGACAAGGGCACTGGAAAAGTGGCTATCACATAATTGTACACGCACGCACTTCAAGCCGCACGCGGTTACACTTTTCTGTCAGAAGCGCGAGCGGACCCGATCGCCTTCAAATAGCCAGCGGACCGCCCCGGGCTAGGGGCACGCTGGGACAGATGGAAAACAGGATGGCGGCCGCAGGGGAGGAAGCAGGCAAGAGGCCTCAGACGTAAGCAGTTTACGTCTTGAGGAACGCGTAGGAAGCTTCAGGCACCAGGAGTCCGGGTATTCACAGGTTGTGCGGAACGGTGCGAGCTTCCAAAGGGGGGGCAGCTCCGGGGACCATCGAGAGGCACGGTCGTCATCAGATGTGCGGCGGGCAAATCAGGGAATGCCAGGACCTTCGGAGGTCGTCTTCGGGAGAAACTGGCGACCCAGATGTGGTTGCCAAGCAGGCGCAAGACCAGGGTCCAGGCCTTGTGTGCCACGGGGCACTGACGCATCCCGTGACAGGTCTGAAAGTATCTTGGTTGAAGCGTTGGCACATGTCGAAAAACCGAATAAGTCCAGGCCCTGTTGAAGAGCAGCACGGCGAAGTGACTGCCAGGCGGGTGCAAGACCATGGTCCACGCCTTGCCGTCGAGCAGCACGCCGAAGGGCGTCCAGCGCCTTGGGCCTGCGAAGCGCGGGCGGCCGCCATGGCGGCCGGAGGAGAGAGAGAGAGAGGGAGGGGGCATACCCAAGTGCACAGCAGCGACGGAGAGCCCAAGGCGTGTATGCGGTTACATACGCAGATGAGGTCCCACACGCACGGGGTTTCACAAGCTTGGAGCATGCAGAGGGTCCACGATTGAATCGTTTGGCGTCCATGTGCCGGCATCATTTTAATGAGCATGATCGGAGACGAATGTCGAGACCCGTTTCTTCCCCTCAATTAGAGCCTTGAGAACCGCGAGTACACCTGCCTTGCCGTCCACGCTTCAGGTGAGCCAGAATCAAGTCAATGTTCGATGTGACACATGGTTTCCGCTGCAGTTTCGCAGATACGTGCCGATTCCAGGCCGACGGACGGTGCTGGCTTTCTGGTAGGCTGTTTGAAGACTTATATCAGACGTTGCCACTGGCGGCAGCCAGGGTCTACCCGAAAAGGACACCTGTGTCAAGGCGGACGCGAGAGACTGGTAATGATCTGCTCTGCCTTCCCACAGATCCACGTGGATCTCCAGGGCAAGATCTCGACAGTCTCGCCAGAGCGAAGTCTGCTCTTTAACCTTCTCGCTAATGGAGGATGATGATTAAAAAATGACCGGGGGTCGTGTTCACGCGGCGGCGCCCGGGATGATGATAAAAAAAAACGGCCCAGGGCTGGGAAACTATTTTTTTAATCGTCCCCCCCCCCCCGCCGTCCTCGGGCGCGCGCCCCCCCCCCGCGGTGGAAGTTTCCCGGAGCTTCGTCACAGGGTAACTCTGCCTGTGTGGTCGTCACAGGCGGGCGCTTTCCTTGCGCTTCGTCAAAGGGGAGCGCTGGCTGTGTGGTCGTCGCAGGCGGGCCCTGTCTTTGAGCCTCGACACAGGGGAGCCCTGCTTGTATGGTCGTCACAAAGGCGGGCCCTCTCAGTCAGATTCCACACAAGGGGATGCTGCCTGTGTGGTCGTCACAGATGCGGGCCCTCCCCTTGTGCCTCGTCACAAGGGAACGCTGCCTGCGTGGTCGTCACAGGCGGGTGCTTTCCTTGCGCCTCGTCACAGGGGAGCGCTGCCTGTGTGGTCGTCGCAGGCGGGCCTTTTTTTTGAGCCTCGAGACGGGGAGACCGCTTGTGTGGTCGTCGCAGAGGCGGGCCTTCTGTGACGACCGCACAGGCGAGCCCTGCTTCTGAGCGTTCCCCCCCCAGTGTGAGAAACTATTATTTTAATCGTTCCCCCCTCCTTTTTTTCTTAATCGTCATCCCACATTACACTGTCTCGTCAAAATGGCCTTCTGGGTGGCAGGTTTGCTCCTTTCTTCCGCCTCCCCGTACTTACGTCCCGCCCCGTTTCCTTTCCCCCCCTTACCACCTGCTCCCTCATCCCCTCGTCCCCCCCTGCTCGTCGTTCTGCTCCTCTTCGTCCCACCCCCCTCCCTTTCTCCCTCCCTTTCCCCCTCCTCGTCCCACTCGTCCCCACTCTCCGCCGCATCCTTCTCCTCGGAGGCCCCGGGAAGCCTCCCATGCACGGAGGCCTCTAGAGGCCCACCGAAGGCACTGGGAGGCGCCACGCAGGGCCGAACACGTCCAACATTTTAATGCCCGATCCTTGACCATCCTCCTCCCCCTCATCCTCCTCCTCCTCCTTCTCCTCCTCCTTTTCTCTCCCTCATCCCCTCACCCCATCATCTCCCTTATCGCGTCCTCTTCATCCCCCTCTCTTCGCCACGCACCCTGTCCTCCTCCTTCTCCTCATGTCCATCCCTCCGACGCATATGATCCCTCTTTCCCAGAGGTCCCTGGAGTCCTTCAGCAGCCCCCCAAAGGGGGCTGAAGCACCCCAATCCTCGATCGTTGACCGTCGACCCTCCTCCTCCCTCCTCCTCCTCCTTCTGGCGTTGGCCTGCACGATCTTCCATCAACTTCGTGCCGAGCTTGTGCAATCCGATAATCTGCCCAGCAAGTGCAGACCCTAACCCTCAGTACGCCGCCCAGTGCTCCCGAAGCAGCAACTCACGGCCCGCAATGTGGACGTGCGCTCCTCGTCTTACTTCGTCCATTCGCCTCCTTTGGTTCCTCGGCTCTTCGGCGAGGCTTCGGCAAGGAGCGCTGACCCTGCGGCTCCCCAAGGCCCTCGATACGCACCGCTTGGCGCAATTGCACGGCTTTGCTTTACCCCAGGAGGCGTTTGAGTTCTGTCGGGTGTGTCGGGTAGAGAGGCGCCGAGAGCGAGCGGCCGAGAGCGAGAGCGAAAGACCCGGAGCGATGGGCCTGTAGTGTCTGGGTAATTTCTCGGGCTTTGGTGGATTCGAGAGACCTTTGTCTGAGCCCCCAAAGGCCCCAATGCCCCTTACCCCCATCGTCCCCTCCAAGCCCACAGGCGGCCGAGCCGATGACCTCCGCCGCCGAGCCCTGCAGCGAGCCCGTCTCGGTGCTCGAGGCCAGCCAGCGGCTCGAGGCCGAGCTGGCACGGGCCCGCGTGGTGGTCAAGGAGCGGCCCCGTCGCCGCGTGCAGCCTTTCGGAGAACTACGGGCAATCATTTTGGCTCAGCGTGTCGCTCCCCCGCCCAGGTTCTGGTCCACCACGCCTCGGCACGACACACTATCCCCGCCGAGGCGACACGGTAGGCAAAAGTTCCCGACCGTGCGTCGCCTGTGAGGGCGCGAAGCTGATCGCGCCGGGGCGCGAAGTTAGGGGACCCAGGGGAACGGCATAGACGGCCTTCGGCGGCCCCTGGCGGCGCTGGGCGGCCGTCGACAGGCCTTCGGCGGTCCTTGGCGTCGGTGTGGGGCGTGGGCGTTGCTGCCGACGTGCAGCATGCCATGGTACGGGGTTTGGGGCCTTCATGGGCCTTTCTCGCTCTCGCCCCGTTTGGTGTGCCTGGGGGTACGTTGTGGCCACGACCGGCCGCGGGTCGTTGAAGAAGAAGCGCAGCACAATCACAAACAGTCGCAGGTCTGCGCGGATTCCTTGGATCGGCCCTGGCGCCGCCCCTGGCGCGCAGCGCCAATCCGAGAAACCCGCCCGGAATTCCGGAAGTTTGGGTTGATACATTCTTTCCTACACCGGGAAGCTGGCCATGCTGCACCCCAGGCAGGGTTCAGGGGCCCCTTGGAGCGGGTCCTGGCCGGGAGAGAGGCGAGGGGGGCTGCATCTAACAAGGTCGGCGGCAGCGACCTCGCTGCATGCAAATCTCTCGTGCAACCGTTCGCAGTGCAGCGGGAGGGCGGCAACGACCTGCGACCAGTTGCGAATCTTGCTCCTGCGAGTGCAATCGACGCTGGCGTATCGGACACCCACGTGGCTGCAGCAGACATCTGCCGAATTCTTACCTCAGCCGACGTTCTGGAAAGCTGACCTGCAGTGGTAGTGCTCACATGTGGTTGCCGAAGCGAGCTGTCCACAGGCAGACGGGGCTTGGCGGCAACGTGCCCACTGTAGGCAAATAAGGTTTTGCCAATAATGCCTTCAATGCTGGCTTCACATGAGTTTGCCTATGGTTGGCTCGCTGACACCATGCCGATGTGCTGCACGCCCACGTGCTTCCTGTGGTTTGAAGAGTCAGAATGCTCGTCCGCGGTCAGATCTCAGTGCCGGTCGAAAGCGATTGACCCAGTAGAGCAGCTCAGAGAACAGACGCCCTCCTTCTATTCCCCGCACACTTGTGGGCAGTATTGGTTTCGAGACGGACTGTGAATGAGGAGGGCATGCGTGTGCGGGGGCATCTCATCTTGTTGATGGGGAGGGGCCTCATGTCCGGTCCATTGCGCCCAGGACCATGAGGCTTCGCTATCAGCTCGATTTTCCCCACTCTGAGCCAGTCCCCCCCCCAATCGTTGTCCCTCGGACCCGCATTGCATCCATGAAGTTCTTTCTTGATAGCCCAGGGATCCAGGAACGGCCCTCGGACGCCGAACATGGCAAACAGAAACACCGAGCTCGATGTTATCCTGAGCCGCCGAAGGCTTGGGTAGTAGAAGGTTTAATCGGGAACAACAAATAATTTCGGTAGGTGTGTGTGTGTGTGTCGCGCCGATGCGGTGGCGACCTCGCCGCGGGCGTTCAAGGTTGAACGGTGGTAATGGCCCAGAATCGGCCGACATGGAACGATCTGCCGATCGAAAAGCCGCCGATCCTTCAAGGTTGAACGGTCCATGCAGTGTCCGAACCCCCTGCGCAAGTCGTGACGACACGAACTTGCCGTACATACCAGAAAGATGCGGAGGTCCGCGCAGATTTCTGGAGTTGTTGCTGGCCCCCCCCTGGCGGCGCCTCCAGCGCCGCTCCTGGCGCGCGAAGCGCGCCAGGGGATGAGGGCCCAGCGCAGACAAGAATCCGCGTGTGCCTCCGACGGTATATTCTTGTACATGTCTACTGCTCTCCAAGAGTAGGCGGCTGCCCATGCACCCTCTTGGCCCGTGGCCCCGCCGGGGTCAGGAGATCGCCGACAGGTACCAGCCCGAGCTCACGAGGAGCCAGAGCTCTCCCCTTGACGAGGTGTGCGCTTGTTCTTCGCGGCGTTCCCCGCTCTCGCCTTCATCCCCACTTCTCCTCTCCCTTCTCTGCCACCTCCTCCTCCTCCTCCTCCTCCTCCTCCTCCTCCTCCTCCTCCTCCTCCTCCTCCTCCTCCCGCTCCTCCTCCTCCCCCTCCTCCCTCCTCCTCCTCCTCCCCTCCTCCTCCTCCCCCTCCTCCTCCTCCAGTCTCCTCCTCCTCCTCCCCCTTTTCCTCCTCCTCCAGTCTCCTCCGTCTCCTCTTCCTTTTCTTCCCATATTTCTCCTCCTCCCCCCTCCCCATCCCCGTTTGCATCGTGTACCCTATCTTGGCTCCCCATCCGAGGTGGGCGCGGGCCAGGAGCTGCAGTTAGTCGGTACTCACGCGCTGTCGGCTCATCCATTGGTAGTTTTGATGTTTGGTCGTTGGTTCAGAGGTGTGTTCCTGATGTCTCCTTGTTTTGGTCCCTGTTGCCAGGTGCACGCTCCTATCACTCAAGCAGGTGACCACGATGATTATTGTGCAGCTCTTGTCCTGCATGCGTATCAGGCTGCTAGTGGGCTTCACAGAGACACCCTTGCAAGTCGAGTAAGACAGGGTGGGTAGTAGCGCAGAGTCTAGGAATTGCCAAGCTGCTGCAACAAATCCGCCCGCGCTCCCGAAAGTACAATATTTGTCCTCCGTAGTCCCTTGCAGAGGACCAAGCAGAGGACCAAGCAGAGGACCAAGGGTTCAACTAGTTACTGTCGGCACGCCAACATGTGGCGTCCGAGGCACCTAAAAGCTTTGGGAGACGCTTACAAGGTTGCTTGAAAGGATGCCTGGAAAGCTTGCATACTTGAAATGGGAGCTGGGCAGGAGCCTAGGAGGCGCTGCAAAGAAGCTGCGCGAAGGCTCGCGGCACACTTATGGGAAACGAGTAGGAAAACGCTTCTGGGACACGTTGCAATCTCCAGCAGCCTGATGCAGCGCTGCCTGACCGGCAGCCGGGAGAGGAAGCTGGCCTACCCTTGCTTGCCGTCTTCTAATTTGAAACCCTCTTAGCTCTCCGAGGAGCTATCCAGGAACAAACCCTCTTGCAGGCAACGGGTGGCGGCGGATCTAGTGGCCTTCAGCCCATCCCGCCACCGTGCCTGGGGCATGGGTCACAGGCCTCTTCGATACCTCTCAGCGTCTTTTGGGGGGCCTCTCCAGGGGCTTCTCGGTAGATTATCTAGAGGCGTCTTGGGGACATTTTGGGACTTCTTTTTGGCGTCCTGTGGCCCGCGGGGGGGCTCCACAGAGGGGGCGTAATATTGGGGCCGTATTGGGGGTCTTCGAAGCCATCGTGTGGGGAGAGGATCCGAAGGAACCTTCCAGTTCCCCCTCTTGTGGTCATCTTGGGGCCCTCTTGGCAGCCTCGAGGGCAATATTGAGTGGTTGTTGGGCCGTCTTGGAGGCCTCTTGGAGGCCTCTCGGGCTGTCACGGGTAAGCTGAAACTCGGAATGGCGAGAACGGTACAACTGGTAAAATGTCGATGGATCTCGATGACTTGTGCCTCTTGGCGCCATCTTGGGGTTCCTTTTTGGGGCCTCTTGGGTCCATTTCGAGGCGTCTTGGGGGCGCTTGGGCCATCTTGAGGGCAGTTTGAGCGTCTTGGAGTGCTCTTCGGCTGATTCGGCACCCTCTTGGACAGCCTTGGGGCGGCTCTCTTGGGACCATCTTTCATTCGCGCATTTGTTGTTCGCAAGCTCTTACGAGGAATCAGCGCTTGCTGATATTGTCCACGGGCGGCTCCCCGAATGCGAGGCGTTCCAGTCAAGGGCCTCGCCTTCGAGGATCGAAGGTGTTGGCATCTCTTCCTCGGGCGAAAGCGGCGGAAGTAAAATGGAGCCGCCTCCGCCAGCGATAGGCCGGCGGAAGCTTGCGGAAGTAAAAATCGGCCTCCCAAGGGTCGTTCGGTTCCAGGGCTGCCGGAACCGGCCACGTCTGGCCCACACGCTCTGGCGCCGCCTCGACATCAGAGCCGGCGTGCCGTCGGCTCGAAGCCGCGCCCGCTTACCACCTGAGAGTTTCCCGGTCGCGCCCCACGGGCAGAGCAGGGCATTGCTCGTGGATTTAAAAAAAAAAAAACATCGGTGTCCACGGCCTCGGGCCTGGCCCCAGGGCCGTGACCAAGCGCCGTACGGGGCGTTTTGTTCGCGGATGCCCTGCGCGGGAAGTATCCGCGCGACCTCGCATCCGCGTAGAACGCCCCGGAATCCACATCGCGAGGGAGTGGATATGGATTCGCTCGCCGCTCGTGAATTGCACGTGGATGGGTGCCTCGTGACGAGGCTCGAGGATCGGGGTTCGTGGACGTTTGAGGACCTTGGTGGCCGGCGGATGCCTCCAGGGACCTCGGAGAGGATAATCCTCAGGACGTGTGCCGCTCGCGTCGTGATTATCGAATGGCTTCGTTGGACAAGCATCCGTTGGCGCTAACACACGTTCTGAGCATCGAAGAGACCTCGGGGGCATGACGGCTCAGTCGAGGCCTGCGACGCCAGCCCAGTGGGGGGCTCCGTCAGCAACGGGGCCTCAGCCACAGGTCGCGCCCAGGTGCCCCTTTCGAGCGCGTTGACCCACCGCCTGATGCGGAGGTGCATCCATGCTCGCCTGCTGCACGGGCAACACCCTGTCTTTGGGATGCAGCTCCTGAGAGCTTCAGTTTGGCATCGACGCTGGTATATCCGTGGCCAACAACCGGCAACATCCAGCATAATACCGTTTAGTCTGTATGAATCAGGCTTGATCCTGAGCCCAATGTGGGCTAATCCGACTCCGTGGTCCCTTGACTGGCCTCATAAGAGCCCCTAGTCGTTCTTACGAAAGCCTGACAGGAGTTGCCTCCTCAACCCCGTCTGGCGGCCTGCCCGCTGGCAGGCGCGGCGTGCCATGGCGAAGCTGATGGGGAGGGTTGACGAGGCGGCGAAGTCCACGGGCACCGTCATGGCGGGCCGCCCGCATCCGGCCGGGAGGGGAACGGACCAGGCCCAGGCGTCCAGTGCTTCGATATCATTGCGAAGGCCTTGCGGCCAGTACCGCCGACCCTGAAGGCGGGACCTTCCCAGGACCACTGGCGACCCCCCCGCAAGCACCCTCTGGGACCACGGGGGGGCGGCATTCTGACCCGGGACCCCCCCCCCACCCTTCCCCCCCCCCCGGGCAGGGAAGGGATCAAAGGGAAGGGGCTTCTCTTCGACTCAACAGCGACGTTCCTCAATCTCCTTGTAGCTGGCGGTTGAAGATGAACGCTTGAGAGGTGCGACGACGACGACGACGACGACGACGACGACGGCGGCGACGGCGACGACGACGACGACTCAAACAGAAAAGCCTCGTATACACGCCGACAGGGTCGGCGGATTTTGGCCGCTGGCCCCTTCCCCCTGGACCGGCGCTTCATCCATTAGCATCCTGAGCACCTGTCCGTGTTTCTCTGGGACCCGAGGCTTGCTCTGGGGCGCCAGAATTGGCAACCAGAACTCAGAGAACACGTCGCAGCTCTGTGTTGGGGTCGCCAGAGGTCTGGAGAGGGGGGGGGCGGGCACCGCTGGCCCGGGATCGGGCTGGGAGAGCGGAGGCGGCAGGTATGCGGCGACGTTGGCCGCTGCGGCTCGGTGGAGGAGGGAGGGGCGCCGCTCTGGCTGCAGGAGGTGTAGGAGCTGGCGGGCAAGGATGGTCTTGGCCGTCTGCGGCCACAGGGGGGTTCCCTGCCCAAGCGCCGGGGCCCTGTCGACTGTCCAACAATGACCCGGGATGAGGGGCCGGGCGCCCAGTGAAGTTGTCAAAAGGTCCAGGGCTCCACACTGTGAGCGGGAAGCACAGCGTGGAGGGTCTGAGCAGCATGGGCAGGATGGCGATGAGGCCACTTCGCCAAACTTGACGTTCTAGTGGCCCATGCGCTACAGCCAGTTGCCGCTACAGTTTGATAAATGCGAACAGAGTTCGAGGAGGAGGTCAGCGGCGCGCCCAGGGGGGAAGGCAGAGGGGGCGGGCAGTCTCTAGAAGGTCTGTGGCGGCCTTCTGACAAGTCTGAAGAGCTTTCTAAGCCCTCCTCGAAGGCGCAGGCGGCTTCTCAAAAGGCGCGAGGGCTTCTGACAAGCTCCACCGACTTCTGAGAAGGCCTGCTCCCTCTCACTTCCCCCCTCGGCGTGCCACCGAGAAGGAGGAGGAGGAGGAGGAGGAGGAGTTGCCCGCTCACGGCGCGGCGTCCTCGCGGATTCTGCTGAGGCGGCCCTCAAGGCGAAGAGCCACGAGATGGGCCAGAGGGGCCAGGAGAAGGCGCGCGCCCAGCCCCAGCGCCTCCACCTCTCCTACCCCCCCCCCTCCTTCTAGCCTCCGATGCTCAGGTCGCAGCGCAGTCTCGGGCGAGACAGACATCCGGGAATTAACATTCGTTCGGTGTTCCCACCCGTTGCAGGTCAGTGGCGGGATCCACACTTCTTTCCATCATGTTGTGGCTTTTTGGTTGCAGTCCGATGTCGGCAGGACTTTCCCGAATGGAGGGGATAATCTCGGAGTACGGGAATTTTGATGCCATCGCCTTTGCAGGTTCGCACGGAAGGCGCGGAGACGCCGAAACGCACGGCCATCGGGCGACTGGTCATCGAGGCTCCACACAGTAATACTTCGTACTCTAACAGTTCATGCATGTTTGGGGAAATTTCCCACGGGCTCCAGGATGGGGATTTGCTGTGCCACGTAAGCGAGGTGCCATGGATATCCGTGAAATGTGCGCATACTTCCCGCCACAAGCCCGTCCTCCGAAATCCACGAGGGAGCATATTTCCGAGCTGTTTCACATATTGCTACTTGGACCAAGGAGGTTCTTGATTCTTTACCAGTCAGATGCACGCCATTGCCCTACACGGATCTGAACGATGGGCTGGGGATGGAGTTCAGGGGCGGAGGTTGGCAGGAATGTGATTCCGATGACGTAGGGACTTGCAATCGAGAGGGATTCCAGAAGGGGGCTGGCCAACTTGTTCGGGAACTCTTGGAACATTACCATTGTTGAGCTGCTAACACGGCTGGGCAGGATGTTGTTGCAACGTTTGTTTGCCCGAGACCCAGTTTACGTGTTCGTGTTTCCCGTTTCCCGTTGGCGAGTAAATTCTTTTTCCAGAATTGCAGTGTTTTGATTCGGCTTGGAGCGAATCCACAAACCAATCTGGTGCGAATCCACAAACCACTTCCCCTGTGTCGCCCGTTCTGCGCTACAGCAAGGGAGGGAAGCGACAAAGGGGGGGGGGCAGCCCCCCCTTCATTCGCCCCCCCCTCCCCTACTTCGCCCTCCCGTTCCCAGGGTTCGAACTAAACAGTGTTGGGCGATTATGCGGGCCGTCTCTGTTTCGGCGCTGTTTCAAAGCAAGGGCGGAAAGAAGACAGAACGATTGCACACGAAAACATAACGAAATTGGACAACACCGTTCAGGTTGAGCCCTGCCCTCACCTCCTCCCCACCCCTCTCCCGCTGCCCCATCCCCTCCTTCGCCTCCCCTCCCCCCTCCCTGCCCCTGCCCGGGCCCCCTCCCGCTGCCGGAGAGGTGGCGGCGCTGCTGCGCACCGAGGCAAGGCGCCGCGCCGCGACCTCAGCCTGGGCCTTGCTTCGGAGGTGCCTCGCACAGCCCTTCCCCGATCCCTCGCTCCTGCTCCCTCCCTCCTTCCCTCCTCCCTGCCACCTCCCTCCCTCCTCCTCCTTCCTCGGCCTTCCCCCCTCCTCCTCCTCCTCCTCCTCCTCCTCCTCCTCCTCCTCCTCCCTCCCCCTCCTCCTCCTCCTTCTCCTCCCCTCCTCCTCCTCCTCCTCCTCCTCCTCCTCCTCCTCCTCCCCCTCCCTCCTCCTCCTCCTCCTCCTCCTCCTCCTCCTTCTCTCCTCCTCCTCCTCCTCCTCCTCCCCCTTCTCCTCCTTCTCGGCGCCCTCCTCCTCCTCCTCATCCTCCACCTTCTCCTCCTCCTCCCCGATGCTGCTGTCGTCGTCGTCGTCGTCGTCGTCGTCGTCGTCGTCGTCGTCGTCGTCGTCGTCGTCGTCGTCGTCGTCGTCGTCCTCTCTCTCTCTCTCTCTCTCTCCTCTCTCTCTCTCTTTCTCTCTCTCTCTTTTTGGGACCTGTCCCCCACCTGCGGGACGCGCCAATTGCTGGATGATGAATGCTGAATCCTGCCCGATGCTCCTCTTCCTCTTCGATCCTCCCCCTCTTCCTCCTCGATCCTCATTGGCCGTCTCCAGACCCTCTCGGGGCCTCTTGGAGGTTCTTGGGTCGGTCGGGGGGGCCTCTCGGGCCGTATGAGATGTTCAGAAGCCCGAAAAAGGAGAGGCTGTAAGACACAAAAGTGGACTAACACTGAGTTGTGCATCTTGGGGCCTTCTTGGGAGTCCTCTTTGGGCCTTCTTGGGGCGCCTTGAGGGGGTCTCGGGCCGTCTTGAGGCCATCTTGGGTATCCATGAGCCCTTCTTGAGCCATCTTGCAAGGCATCTTGAGCATCTGAGCGGCCGTGGTGGGTGGATTTGGAGCATGCCCCCCCCTCCCCCTGATGAGGATGTGGACCCCAGAGGTGAAAGGGGGAGGTGAGACAGTCAATCGCCTCATGCGCCTCTTCACATCAAGGGGGGGTCGGCAGATTTTTCCAATCCGAGCGTCATTCCTCGATTTGGGCCTCCTGTGCCCGGTATTGGGCCCCAGGACGATCAAGAATGGATCCAGGGTGGAAACCTGCAACTGGGGAATGGTCCTCTGGGGCCGCGCATTGAAGCATCAGGCCTTGGCCGTAGTTGATCCTTATCTTCCATGTGTTGGCAGTTTTTTTTTCCATGCTGTTTTCATCGTTGTCTACTAAGTTAGTTTCGTTGTTCGTTTTGCTTTCTCGCACAATGGCGGCCTCGCTTCGGTTTTCGTTTTCGTTTGGCCGCTGTTTCGTTTTGAACGTTAGCTTTAGACGTTGGGCATCGTTTCGCTGTTCGATCTAAGCGCGATGCCGGTTTTGTTATCGTTGTGGTCGGTCCTTCTTGCCCCCCACCAAGCAACGCCCAAGCGACACTCACATGGCCCGGTCCTGGCCTCCAGGGCACGACAACAGTCGAACATTTTCCGTACCTTATTGTTGTTGTTTTTCAGGACGCGAGCATGCCTGGACTCTTGGACGCGTGCGCAACGTGGCTACCGCGTGGCCCAGGCTTGCGACGGCCCGGGCCGGCGCGCTCCCGATTCGCGTGGGAGCGGCCGAGGGCACGAGCATGGGCGTGCTGTTCGATGAGCTCGCGGGCGACGGCGCGGCCTGCGTCCCGGAGGAGCCGGGCCGCGACGAGGGGCATGCCCTCTGCGCGAGTCTAGGCTTCCCAGGTGAGCGACGAAGAAGAAGGGGTTCAAGTGCGTGGCCATTCGCGCGTAAGCTTCCGCGTAATGTCGCGCGAAAGCGCCCCTTTCTCCACGCGGTGTGCCGCGCTGGCGTCCCGCGTACGCGGCGTAAGGTCGCGATGACATTTTGCAGAAAACCCGTTTCGAGTCGGAGCATCGTGCTGCAATCGCCGATGCATCGGCGATGCGGCGCGATGCCCGATTTTCACCACGTCGACTTCGCCGATGCGTCGGCGCGACCCTCCGATCCCATCTACTCGGACCCCACCTGGGAGCACTCTTGGATCGAGGCTCGCTCCCAGACGTGCTCGCGCCGTGCAACATCGCGACGACGGGCAGCTCGGGGCAGTTTTCGACCCCATGGGGGCCCTCGTGAGGCCCCGGGACCGTCAAAACAGGCTCAGGACGCGAAGCCCGTCCCGTCCAGACCTTCGGGGGGGTGCACGTTGTGGAAATCGAGACATCGTTCGTCCTGGTATCGAAGTTGATCAAACCGTAGAGCACTGCAGCCGTGAATGAGTGTTTTTCTCGTGGAGGACTTGCGTGCACCGCACCCTGCTGGGGTCTCCCGAGGGGTTGTCGACTCTCTTCCCAGGAGTGGTACGATGCACAGTTCTTCGGCCCTCAGAGCCGACAAGCTATGAAACGCATGGCATTCGAGCTGGGCTTGGAGGGAGTCCAAGCACAATGCGGTTCATGGGCGCCGTTTTCGCATTTTACCCTTCCCGGTCTTGAACATTTCCAGCCCATCACGGCCACGCCGACAGGCCCCCTCACGCAGACGGCGCGGGAAATTTTGTGTTTGAGGCAGTTTTATTATACCCTTGTGATTACGTGCGTGACCAAGAATGGGAGGGGGGGGGCGGGCCGTTCACGTCACGTTTCGCGCTGGCGCCGTCTGGAAAGTCTTATAAGACTGACTCATTCCCAGACGGCGCTTGCGCGGATCGTGATAGGGGCCAGGGGGGGAGGGGGGAGGGGGGGCGGCGGGGCCGGTCGCGGGGCGATATCGCGAATAATTCGACAGATGCGTTATTTCGAGAGGGAAATCGGACAAGTCAAATCCGGGCCAAGGAGTCGTTTGTAACGGGGGTCTAAAAGTGTGCGCACTAGTTCGTACACTCGTTCGTGATGGATCGTGCTGGCTGCGGGCAGAATGCGTTGCATGTGGCATCGTTGACAGTCCCATGTGCAAGTGCACGAGGAGATAGTTGTTTGACCCTCAGTCGAGTAACGTTCGTGATCTAGCCCCCCGCTCCCCCCCGAGTAACGGTAACGATCGTACCTGGGGGGCGCTGGACTCTGCCCCGACATGCAGGTTCCCGAAGGCATTTTTTGTTGCTCATAAGTATACTGCAGCTTTGACGTGTTACCGTTGCAAATGACGGCTTATTGATGGTGCTCGAGCACGCATTGCGTTGCTCGTCTTTTGCAATTATGACAGGGTCCGGCGTGCTGTTGTACATCCGCGTGGTGCTCGCAGGTGTTGTGGTGTTCCCGGGCACATTGCGGCGTTCGCAGGTGAATGTGATGTTCGCGAGAGGGAGGGGCAGGAGGAGGAGGAGGAGGACGGCGACGACGACAAAAATGGACGAGAGCAGGTAAGGAACAGCACGGTGGAGGTAAGGGTCCGACGCGCACGAGCCGCTGCAAACGCGGTGGTGGTTTCTATCTTGTCGCCGCCGCGGCCGCCGCCGCCACCGTCGGCAACCTCGTCGTTCGTCGTGGTCGCCGCCGCAGCTGTTGCTGCCGCCCCGCCGTCGTCGTCGTTGCAGCCCCGCAGTCGTCGTCGTCTGCGTCGTCGTTTTCGTCGTCTTCGTCGGTCGTCGTCGGTCGTCGTCATGGTCGTCGTCGTCGTGGTTGGTGGTGGTCGTCGTCGTCGGTCGTCGTTGTCGTCGTGGTCGTCGTTGTCGCCGTCGTTGTCGTCGTTGTCCCCGCCACCGCCGCCGTCGTCGTGGTCGTCGTCGTCTTCGTCGTTGTCCTCGTCGTCGTCGTCGTCGTCGCTGTCGTCGTCGTCCGTCGTCGTCGTCGTCGTCGTCGTCGTCGTCGTCGTCGTCGTCGTCGTCGTCGTCGTCGTCGTCGTCGTCGTCGTCGTCGTCGTCTGTTGTCTTCGTCGTCGTCTTCTGTTGCCCTGCTCACCACCGCCGTCCGCCTGTTCTATGAGCTCATTTTCGAGCCCTCCCTCGCTCCATCCTCGGGGAACCTGCTGATGATCGGAGCTCTGCCTCCGCCTGGTGGAGACGGGGGGGCGGCCAGGTGGACAAGGAGGAAGAGGACGAGGCGGAGGAGGATCAGGAACGGGAGGCGGAGGCGCCGGAGGCGGAAGAGGAGGAGGAGGAGGAGGAGGAGGAGGAGGAGGAGAAAGAGGAGGAGAAAGAGGAGGAGGAGGAGGAGGAAGAGGAGGAGGAGGAGGAGGAACAGGAACAGGAGCAGGAGCAGGAGCAGGAGGAGCAAAAGGAGCAGGAGGAGCAGGTGCGACCCAGGGAGTGTGACGGGCGGGAGGGCCGAGTCGAACCCCCCACGCGCCGCCAGCAGGCTGGTGCGTGTTGGGGCGAGGGCCGGCTCAAGCAACTTCGTCGCGCCCCCCCCCAATGTCCGCAGCCAGACCAGGACCGCGGCCCCCGGGGGTTTCAAACCTGCCGCCGCCTTGCGCCTTGCGCCAGGAACCTCAGCAACGACCCGCCGTGCCGCAGCCATGGCAGCCCCAGCGGCCCCGGACACGACCTTCCTGAACCACGTGGGCGTGACCACCGAGATCGCTGGGCCACTCCTGGCAGTTCGCCACAAGCACCACGCGAAGGCAATGACAGCACAGGGCCGCGGAGGTTCCGGCTGGAAGCAGGCCGCCCTCGTCCTAACGCGGTGGCTTTCCTCAGCTCCGAAGCAATCCGCGCCGTGGACCTGGGTCGCATCGAAACGATCATGACGGCATACGTCATGACGCCATATTTCCAGGGGCGGGTGCCCTCCACCTCCATGCGCGAGGTCGTGCGGGATTCCCTGGATGAGCACGCGCACGGGCGCCGCGACAATGACCGCCGCGGGGCTTGCCCGCGCCGGCGCAGCCCGACGCACGGGCCCAGCAGCGGGAGCAGAAAGCGGTTGCGCCGGGAGCAGGGCGCGGACGCGCCCGACAGCACCCAGTCCGGGGGTAAGGAGAGCCAGGACGAGGGCGTGGTGGGTGGTGGAGAGCCGGGAGGGAAAGAGGTTGCGGCCTCGCCAACGTCGCCAGTGCCCTCCCCGCCGGGTGAGCCCCGGGGGTGCAGAGTGGGGGTCGCGGTGGATGTCTGGAGCCAGTCCCAACACAAGTGGGTCGTGGGCCGCGTGGCCCATCTCTATGCCACGGACCAGTTCGACGGCGTCTTCCATTGCCAGGCGGGGAGCCTACGGGTCAAGATGCCGCACGGGCACAGGTACATCATCCCCGAGCTCATCAAGTCCGTCTTGCGCGTGCCTGCGCCCGTGCCCGGGGGCCCGCCGGCCCCGACGAGGCGGACTTCGGCGCCGCGCGCGGGCCAGGAGCCTGCAGGCGCAGGCTCATCTGCCAGAGGTGGGCGTGAGGCCGCCAGCACTTCCAAGGCAGCGCCCGCAGGGCCAGGGCGACAGCCCCGCGGGGCCCTCGACCCGCGAGTTCAAGCTTACCAAATGGTCGAGATGCTTGGGGAACGCGGAGACAGCGCAGGGGCAGCAAAGCATCGGGAGAGCCCCATCGCAGCCCATCGAGGCGCGCAGACCACGCGGCGGCGGCCGCCCCGCTCGCTGCCCTGCCACGGGCGCCGAGGAAGCCGATCCGGGGAGCCCGTCTGACGACCTTCTGGGCCCAAGGAGCTTTTGGCAAAGGCCGCCAGAGCGGCCACGCGCGGGGCCGCGCCGACGAGCCCAGTGGTCGCGCCCAACCCCAGCCCGGGCCAGCAGACCGCGAGGCACGCCCCGCTGCCCATGCCGCTGCCCCGCGCGGGCAGGGGGGCGCAGCCGGACAAGACGGGCGGCTTGGCGGATGAAGCCCACTGGGCGCGGCTCAGAGCGGAGCGGCCAGCCTGGCCCAGGGTGGCGCATTTGCAAGAGACGCTCCTTCCAGGGTGGCGGCTGGCGGCTGGGCCGGAGGTCGTGGAGCTGGAGCTCGCTGTGAACTCTGCTGACGCCACCTGGGAGGACCAGTTGTGGCAGTGGTTTGAGGCGCTCGCGAAGGCGGGGGTCTACGTCGACACGTGCGCCATGGGCCCGGCCAGGCCAGGGAGGGCAACCGGAAACGCCCACCTCACCCCGAAGTGCACGAACACGACGCCCTGCGTGAAGTTGCGGGGCATTGGGTCGACCGTCAACTGGTTCCGCACCACGGACGGGCGCGTCCGCCTCGACGGGGCGTGGGGGCAGAGGTCCATCCTGCTCGAGATGTTGCGCAAGTCCCGCTCGGCCAGCCGGATAATTCGGCGCAGGGCCGCGTGACGGGCTGTCAGATCGACCCTGCTCGGGCCGCGCAGCGCACCCAGCGCGCCGAGCTTGAGCAGCGCGCGCAGTGGGGGCAACGGCGCCAGGACACCATCACCGTGCTGGCAGCTGCGGAGATCTTCGACGGCCTGCGCCCTCGCCATCTTCGCGGGCACCCTTGTCCAGGTTTGGGCAGACGGGGCGACGCGCGCCCGCCTCGGCACCGGTGCCCCCAGCGTGGCAGACGCAGTCGCCGAGGTGTTCGTAAGGCAGTTCAGCGGCGAGGTGAGGAGGGCGAGCGACTTCAGTGCGACGGCAGCGGCCAACCCAATCAGGGCGCGCTACGAGGTGCTGTCGGAGAGAGCGCTGCAGCGGGGCGGCCGGACGGGTTTTCGCTCGGAGGGGAGGTCATCGCGGCGCTGATCTCCAACTGCCCCCCAGGGAGTACTCCCGCGGATGCCCGCCAGGTGGATGCCAATCGCCGACCTTCGCGGCGCGGAGGAACAACTGTTCAGTGAGCGGATAGCCCCGCTGGAGCGAGCCTTGGCCTCCTGGAGGCCGGAGGTGGCGGGCGCGTGGCGCGACTGTGTAGCCGACCTCGTGCGGCGAGCCCCTGTGTGGGAGGGCCCGCAGGCTGGTGGCCTGGCAGGCCGCTGGCACCTCCCCGCGGCAGCCCCAGCGCGGCGGATCACAAGGTGCGCGCGGACTCACAGCGCCGCCTCCCGCCGCTGCCGGCCACCGCGCCACATTTGGGAGGGTGGGGGGGGGGGCGTGGCGCGGCCCTGGCGGTCACCCGCGCCGGAGGTTCGTCCGGGGGCGCCCTGGGCCCCCCGGGGCCGCCCCAGGGGCCCCCGTCACCGCGGGAACCGCCCCCGGGGCCACCCCGCGGCCCGCTGATCGCAACCCCGCGTTTGTGATCAGCGTGGCCCGCGGGCGTTCTTGGGGCCCCCCAGACAAATCCCAAGGCCTCGGCGGCCCCGTTCGGGGGTCGGCCCCACCGGGGGTCTTCGCGAGCGGATCGGACGACCCGGGAGCCCGCGAGGCCGCAGGCGGACGCCCGGGGGCGGCCAGCTCAGGTGCAGAGTAACGCTGGTTATATGCTATTCCTGCAGCGGGCCACCTCCGGGCGCCGTCGGGGGCGTCCGGCGGCGGGCTCGGGGGTTTGGCCCAGGCCGATGCTGCCCCGCATGCCATCCTGCTCTGGCGAGAGTGCCTACCGCGCAGCCACACGACCCAAGCAGGGTTGCCAGAGGCAGCCCCCCGAGCGGCACTCGTCCAGCCTGCATGGCGCTGGAGGGGTTGCCGGGGGACCCCCTCGCGGGGGGCTGGCGGGCTGCAGGGGCCCCCCGCGGCAGCGTCGGGCGCCGCCACCAGCCACGCCTCCTGGCCGTGGGGGGGGCCGCCGCGGGCTGGGCCCACCTGCGGGAGCTATCATTGCCCGTGCCGGGCGGCCCGGCCGGGCGCGCCGCCCGACCGCGGGCGCGCGTCATGCGATCGGAAGGAAGGAAGAAAGGAAGGAGGAACAGGAACACAAGCACGTGCACGAGGAGGAGGACGACGAGGAAGAGGACGAGGAGAGCGAGGAGGAGGAGGAGGAGGAGGAGGAGGAGGAGGAGGAGGAGGAGGAGGAGGAGGAGGAAGAGGAGGAGGAGGAGGAGGAGGAGGAGGAGGAGGAGGAGGAGGAGGAGGAGGAGGAGGAGGGGGGCGAGGAGGACGAGGTGGAGGAGGATGAGACGACGACGACGATTCCGATGACGACGAACTCGACGATCACGACGACGCTGACGACGCTTACGGCGACGCCGGCGACGATTCTGACGTCGACTCCGACGCTGGCGACGAGAACGACGATTCCGATGACGACGAATTCGGCTACGTCGGCGCTGACGATTCTGACGACCACGGCTTTGACGGCCACTCCGACGCGGACGGCGACGGCGACGACGACGACAACGACGGCGATCATTCTCGACTCCGACGGCGACGCCGGTAGCCCAAAAATGGTTTCGATGAACATGGTTGCGCCGACGTTTCCAATGATGCCGACGACGATTCCGAGGACTATGATGGTGCTCGCGCTGTAGTATGGTTGTCGCAGGCGAGCGCTGGTCGCTCGCAGGCCATTGCGGTGCTCGCATGTACCTTGCTGGTGCTTTCAGGCCTTGCGCGCGCGATCGAATCGCAGGCCACTGTTGTGCTCGCAGGCGCAGTGTGCTGCTCGGGCGCGTACTATGGCGATCGCAGCGTGCCCCTGTCGTGACGAACCCCGCCACCAAAGGTTACCGTTACCAGGGGCCCAGAATTCCCCTCCCCCCCACGGGTAACGACCGGTACCCGCCAGTGCAAATTTACTTCGTGACGTACCCAACCCTTTCTAAGCATGTGGCGAATATATATATATATATATATATATATATATATATATATATATAAGGCCCCTATATATATAAGGCCCCTCGCTACAAGCAAACATGTTGAAGAACTCGCAGTGCGCATGAGCTCCGAGGTCTCGGGAGGTCTCAACTGGACCCCTGCGTAACTCCACTCCGCGCGACCTCCCAGGAGCCCACGAACGGTTCGACAGCTGCAAGCTTCGCACCCCCCAAGGGAGCCGCCAAGTCTCAACTGGATCCCTGTGTAACTCCACTCCGCGCGATCTCCCAGGAGCCCACGAACGTAACGACAGTTGCACGCTTGGCAGCCCCCCAGGGAGCCGCGAGGTCTCAACTGGATCCCCGTGTAACTCCACCCTGCGCGACCTCCCAGGAACCCACGAAAATGGCGACGGTTGCACGCTTCGCAGCCCCCCATGGAGCCGCCAGGTCTCTAACTGGATCCCCGTGTACTCCACTCCGCGGGACCTCCCCGGAGCCCACGAGCCTTGCGACATTTGCTTTCTTCGCAGCCCCCCAGGGAGCAGCGCAAGAGGACGCAGGAGGAGGGGGGAGCAGGCGGAGACGCGACCGCAGTGTTCGATTCAAAACGAGAACCCAACACATGAGGGTTGGGATCTTCGAGAGCCCAACGCAGGATGGTTGGGGAACAGTAGAGGTCAGTAGAGAGGAGATTGGAGGCGGGAGAGAGGAGGATAGGGAGGAGAAGGAAGGGGAAGACGCGACCACAATGCTCTATCCAAAACGAGAACCCAACACAGGAGGGTTGGGAAACGCGATCTCGAGGTCTGCACTATGAACACGAAGTAATGCTATTTCCGGCAGAGACTCCCACCACGTGGATAGTTCAGACTCAAGGTTCGCTTGGTCCCCTGGCGCACGCTGTAAGTGACGGAAAGTGAAGGGTTATTCGCAGTGGGGGAGCCCGCCCCTCAGTGGCCACCACACTGGATCAGGTAAGACAAACGAACCTTCATGGCCAGGCTCCCACCCTGATCAAACAAGTCTGCTGTGCCCGGATGTCTGGGGATGTAGTCGACGCAAGGGTGGGCCAAAAGTATTGGGCTTGCTGCGCAACTTGCGCCGCTTCTCTTGCCTCCGTCAGAGGTTCCCCATGGCTTGTAGTTCTAGAACATGCTGCCAGACTGACATAATTATTCGATCTTCGGTGGTTTGAGCAATTGTGATTCAAATTTAGATTATTAATTGATGCCCTAAGGCGTTGAATCCTTGGATTTCTGGGGGCGGCACGGGAGGAAGAGAGCGAGGTAGGTAGGGCGATTGAGGGACAGGCGAGCGGGAGGGGATATGCGGTGGTTGAGCAAGGGATTTAGAACGGTAGTGATAAGATGCATGTTGGTGTATGAGCAGGAGCAGCGAGGAAAGAGAGTGGATGAGGAGGAGGCTCCGAGCCCAGAAATCGAGGAGGGATAATTAGGCGGTGCCCATGCTGGGGCGATGCCTTTGGCGAAGTGCTCCGATTGTCGCCACGATGATCAGGGAGACGCTTTGGCTCAAGCCGCCTTGGCTCGACGCTTCTCGACCTAGAACTTGTCCTCTCCTAACTGGTTACGTGCGCACTGGCAAGACACGCCTCCACACATCAAGGGTGCGGCGGCTGCCAGCGTTCACCCGAACATGCGCAGGTACAGCTCTGGGGCCTGCGACTCTCTTTCGCCCCAGCCCGCCGACCGCCGCCAGATGGTGCCCTCGCATGGCGGCGCCGGTGGCGACGGCCGTGGCTGGGCCGAGCCGAGTCTGGCCGGCAGCCGGCTGAGCGCTGGCGAGGCCGCCCTGGCCAGGGTCGCCGAGGAGGTTCGAAGATTTACAAAAAATGATCCCGGCAAAGCAACCTAACAGCGATGTGTAGAAGCATATCTGGAAGCATTCTCCTTAAGATTCAGATCGGAATCCAGTTGTAGAATTCTGCTGTTCTCACAGTCGCAGTCGCATTCGCGATGACAGTCGCAGTGGCAACGGCATTCGCAATCACAGCCTCAGCCTCAGCCTGCCTGAGTATCAGCCTGCCTCACTCTCAGCCTCAGCCTGCCTCAGCCTGCCTTAGCCTCAACCTCAGCCTGCTTCAGCCTCAGCCTCAGTCTGCCTTCAGCCTCAGCCTCAGCCTCAGCCTCAGCCTGCCTCAGCCAGTCTGCATCAGCCTCAGCGTCTGCCTCAGCCTGCCTCAGCGTCTGCCTCAGCCTGCCTCAGCCTCAGCCTCAGCCTCAGCCTGCATCAGCCTCAGCCTCAGCCTCAGCCTCAGCCTCAGCCTCAGCCTCAGCCTCAGCCTGCCTCAGCCTCAGCCTGCCTTCAGCCTCAGCCTCAGCCTCAGCCTCAGCCTGCCTCAGCCTCAGCCTGCATCAGCCTCAGCCTCAGCCTCAGCCTGCCTCCTCAGCCTGCCTCAGCCTCAGCCTCAGCCTGCCTCAGCCTCAGCCTCAGCCTCAGCCTGCCTCAGCCTCAGCCTGCCTCAGCCTCAGCCTCTCAGCCTCAGCCTCAGCCTCAGCCTGCCTCAGCCTCAGCGTCAGCCTCAGCCTCAGTGCCTCAGCCTCCGGGCATTCAAAATGTGGCCCGGGAATGGAGTTCTGGGAAGTCGAAGAGCACGAAGTGGCCTACAGTTGGCTCCGGGCATTCAAAATGTGGCCCGGGAATGGAGTTCTGGGAAGTCGAAGAGCACGAAGTGGCCTACAGTTGGCTCCGGGCATCCAAAATGTGGCCCGGGAATGGAGTTCTGGGAAGTCGAAGACCACGAAGTGGCCTACAGTTGGCTCCGGGCATCCAAAATGTACGCCGGGAATGGAGTTCTAACTCGAAGACCACGAAGTGGCTTACAGTTGGCTCCGGGCATCCAAAATGTACGCCGGGAATGGAGTTCTAGCAGCGCCAAGAGCGATTTTGCGAGGATGTCCAAGGCGATTTGGGCTTCGACGGCAGCCGCCCCGGGTCCCGCCCCGACCCCCCTGAGGAGTCATCTGCTGCTCTCTTTTGACACCACTAGAAACCTATCAGTCTTCGCTGTTAGGTAATTAATTATGGAGCTCCGTGCGGATTCCTTGGATCGGCGCTGGACCCCCCTCCCTAGCGCGCGGAGCGCGCCAGGGGCGGCGCCGGAGGCGCCGCCAGGGCCCAGCGATGATCCAAGAAATCCGCACGGAGCTCCGAATGTTTCTGCTTCTGCAGTTTCTGTGGTCCTCCTAACTCGAGGTGCAGAGGGCGACGCGCACGCCCCCGCGCCGAGGTTCCGAGGGCGGCAGCTGCCGCGGCACGTCCAGCGCGACCACCGCCACGCCGCCCTCCGGCTCCAGCACGACCTCCTGCGAGGACGTTGGCGCCCCGGCGCTGAGCGTGCCGCGGCGGTCGGCGCAGCGGGCAGGGCCAGCGGCGCCGGAGGCGCCGTGGGACGAGCACGCCGAGGACCCAGACTCGGAGGATGCCAAGTCCGCGCGGAGTGAGTCCGTACGGAGTGCTTGGTCTCCGTCGGGGCTTACTCCGTGTGGGCCTAGCCTCTCCTGCCAGGATGCGAAGTTCGCACGGAGTGCTTGGTCTCCGTCTGGACTTACTCCATCCAGACGGAGCCCCTCCTCGCAGACCCCTCTCAGATAGAGCCAGGACCCTGGTTAATGATTGTGTACCGAAGCCCCCGAAATTCACCGGAATCACTAAGCCAGGTCTGCCGTGGCTGTTGTGTCTTCGGGTGGCGGTAGTCTTGCTTGGTGAAATGGGGCGGGGTGGTGTCCCCCGGTGTAGATCACTAGACCATGTCCCACTGAACCCAATCCTGCCATTGCGTGACATCCCTCGCGGTGTGAAAAAACATGGGGAGTTTCTGGTCAGTTTCGGTCAACATGTTTCTGGCAAAGTAATGACTTGCAGGATGAAAATCCGGTCCTTGGGAATGGGTCTAGGCCTCTTAGGGTCCGCCCTTCGGCGGCGAGCCCATGCAGGCCTTCTCAGAAGGCGGCTGGGCTTCTCAGAATCTCACGCGCCTTCTGAGAAGCTTTCTAAGCCATCTCCGAAGATATAGACGGTTCTTCATGAGGCCAGAGGGCTTCAGCGGGGCCCCGCCCCTCTCTGAGAAGGTCTGCCCCCTCTCACTCCCCCTCTTGGCTCGCCCCAAAACCCCATGACAAATGTCGCGACGCCGCCGATGTCGCCGATGCATCGCCGATGCGGCCCGATCCTGCGACCCCACCTGCTCGGACCCCATCTGGGAGGCCTCTGCTGAAAACGGTCACGACGTCGGGGGTCTGAGGATCCGCGTCACCCGAACATGCTACAAGTGTGTGTGATTGTGTGTTGTGTGTGCATAATTGTGTGTGTGTGTGTGTGTGTGTGTGTGTGTGTGTGTGTGTGTGTGTGTGTGTGTGTGCGTGATTGTGTGTGTGCCCCCTCCCCCATGGGCGACTCGCGCGCCGAGAAAGAAATCTTGTAGCACAAGCTCCCTGGCGGGCGCTTTCTGGCCATACCTCTGGGGAAGCGATGTGCTACAAGATGCTTGCAATCGTCATGCGTGCTCGGTTCGGACGGGCGCCCCCGAGGAGGGCGCACGCACGCCGCGACGCCGCCCCCCCTCCGCCCGCCGCGGCTGCCGCGGCGAGCCCCACGGCTCCTGCGCGGGGCGCGGCGGCAGCGCGGCGGTGGGCCTCGGCCCCGGGGGCGCGCGGAGGGCCTCGGGGCCCGAGCCCGCGCGCCCCCCGCGCCGCAGCTTCCGCTCGGTCGGCGGCAGCCGCCGCCACCTTAGCCGCCACCGAGGGGGGCCCACAGTTCTCGAGGGGGGGGGGGGCACAGGCGGTCCCACACGTTGGCACAGTGGCCTTCCCCCGCTGGGGTGGTCGGCGAGCCCAGGTGGGGGGGAGGGAGACGCGGGCAGGCCATCCCAGAAGGCGGCGGGGCTTCTCGGAAGCCCTCGGGCCCTCTGAGAAGCCGCCCTTGTCTTCGGAGAAGGCTCCACAGTTTTTGTTCAGAGGGCACGAGGGCTTCTGAGAAGCGCGGTCGCCGTCTGAGAAGGCCTGCTCCTTGGCTGCCGAAACGCAGCACGCTCCGTGCTCAACACGTTCGTGTCAACACGTTGCGTGCTGGCTCAGCGTGGTGGCCCACGTTTTGGCGAACGTGTCGCGCCAAACGTACGCTTTCAAATCTACGTGTTGAGCTCCGTGTCAACACGCCACGGGTTTAGTGTTGCCTATCGGGGCAGCTCAGGCCGCCACAGCAGTCCGTGCGGCGGCGCGTCGCAGCACGAGGCGCGGGACGTCTGCGGCCCCGCCCGCTTCAAGCCGACGGTGCGCCACAGCTGCTCGCGGCTCTCTGGCGGAGGCCTGGCCATGCTGGGCGCGGAGGGCAGGTCCCTCCCTGAGATCCGACGTTCAGAGGGCACGAAGCCTGGCTTTTTGAAGTTTTTGATGTTTTCGGACGTCATCGTTGGTTCTCGACGGCGTTCCAGCCTCGGGGCGGTCTCTAGCAGCTGCGCCTCGCCGACAGCGGTCCGGGGGTGCCCGGATCGTCCCGACCGGCCGCCGGAGGCCAGAGTTAAGACCCGAAAACCACCGGGGGACTGGCCCAGTGGAAGGGGAACATCTACTTGGAATCGGCGATGCGTCGCCGATAGACCGGCGATGGCCCCCCCTAGCGAATCCACACGCTCCTGGGCGGGGTGTGCTATCAGGCTCCTATCGGCGATGAATGGGGGATCCCTGAGATCCAACGCTGCGAAACACCTTGTAACGACAAAGACTACACGACCGGAGCCCTAGACCTCACCTTTCTGCGGCGTGTTTTGAGCGGGATCGATCTTGGAGGGTCCCAGGGCCCGATAAAGGGCAACACCGCCCGGTGTGAACAAGTGGCGACGCCAGGATCTCAGGGCTCCTTGAGAGGTCGAACGGTGTGCCCCTCCCCGGCAGAGAGGCGGCCGGAGGCAAGCGGTGGTCGCTCGCGGAGTGCTGCGACAGCCAGTCGGAGGCCGAGTCCGAGGTTCGAGGCCTCCCAAAGTGGAGTCCGAGCACTGGGGTCGGAGGATAGCGCCGCATCGCCGATGCATCGGCGATACGGCTTGATGTGGAGCCCGATTTTCTCCACGCTGACGGCGCTAATGCATCGCCAACGTCGCCGATGCATCGGCGAAGCATCGGTGATACATCGGCGATGCGGCGCGATCCTCCGACTCCATCTGCTCGGACCCCATGAGGCCGAGACCGAGGTCCTCTCGGAGGGCGGCACCAGCTGGCGGAAGGTGCGCCCGGCCGCGTGCGGCTCCGAGTGCTCGGAGCTGTGGGAGGAGGGCTGCGAGGACTCTGGCGGGCAGGGCTCGCAGTGGAGGACTCCGAGGAGAAAAAGGCACCGATACCACTAGCCCTTCCCTCGTTTTCGCTCTTTCTCACGAGCGGCGAACACATCCGCATCCGCGCCCTCGCGGTCTGGATTCCAGGGCGCGATCCCGCGGATACGCGGTCGCACGGATACGGTCCGCGCGGGGCATCCGCGACAAAAACGGCCAGGGGCCTGGCCCGCGAGACCATGGAGCATGGATACGGAGAAAGAGAGAGATACTATATATATATATATATATATATATATATATATATATATATATATATATATATATATATATCGGAGGTCGGGGGGTGAGATCGCAGTGAAACGGAGACCCCCCACCGGGAAATCGGTTTCGGTTTCGTGTTCGTGTCGGGCGTGCGGGCGAGGCGAAGCTGCCCGTGATCCTCCAATAGCTAGGCCGAAGTAGGAGCGAAAGTCCGTTCCCCGTCCGCCGGTGGCTGGGAGGTGTCCCAGTTGGGCCGGGCGGTGTCCCGGGTGTAAAGTCCGTTTCCCGTCCGCCGGTGGCCGGGAGGTGTCCCAGTTGGGCCGGGCGGTGTCCCGGGTGTCCCGGATGTTAGTAGGAGCGAAAGTCCGTTTCCCGTATGCCGGTGGCCGGGAGGTGTCCCAGTTGGGCCGGGCGGTGTCCCGGGTGTCCTGGGCGTCCTGGCGCTATCGCATGTCGTTAATGTCATAATTCATTTGTTTCGGCGCCTGCGGCGGGCTTTCCTATCCACTCCAGCTTGTTTTATCCAATCAATCTGGTCCAATCCAATCCATCTTATATTATCCAACCCGTAGTGTTCCATCTTATCTTATCCCACCCAATCCAATCCATCCAACCCAGTCCATCAATTCATTTGTTTATGCCCCTGCGGCGGGCCAATCCAATCCATATTATCTTATCCAATGCATGTCTTCCAATCCAACCCATCTTATCTTATCCAATCCATCTTATCCCATCCGATCCAATCCACCCAACCCAATTCATTACTTCATTTTTGTCGGCGCCTGCGGCAGGCTTTCTTATCCAATACAGCTTATCTTATCCAATCCATCTTGTCCCACCCAATACATCTTATCTGATCCAACCCATATTGTCCCATCTTATCTTATCCCACCGAATCCAGAGAGAGAGGGCGAGAGAGAGAGAGAGAGAAAGAGAGAGAGAGAGAGAGAGAAAGAGAGAGAGAGAGAGACAGACAGAGGCATGTGAGATCAAGGTGACAGGCTGGAGGTCAGTCAGGGTGGGCATTTGATTTAAATCCCCCCCGACCTCCTTATCGCCCGCAGGGCGGTCATATAGGTGTGTGTGTATGTGTATATATATATAGGTATATAAACATATATATATCGCCCATGAGCTTCGGGCCTGTTGGGTGGACATAGTCGCCGCTGCTGGATTCGCCTCAAGATACTGGTCAGAACGCGTCTCAGGATTTCTTGCGATTCCAGCAACAAGGGGTAACACTAGTGCGAGCTCGGGCCTCTAAACCAGCACAGATCATTGAGAGGGGATGGTCATGCCGTTCTTCGGGGGCTTACCTTCCGCCAGCCGCTCAATGTTGCGCCTGCCAGTCACAGACGGCTCAGGGGGGCAGGGCTGGGTCAGCTTCTGTGCAATGTTGACCGCCAAGCTCCCTCAACCCCGACAAAACGAGACACCTCTGAATTTCGCCAGCACGTGCGTCGGATGCGAACGAGCATAACATGGATGTCCGCTCGAATTCCCCAGGGACGGGCCGCGGGAGGACGAGGGGCGCAACCCCTCCGACGTCGAGGATCCCAACACTGGCGCCCCAGGGCGCCTGGCCAGAAACTAACTTCACTTCGGACAGCGGGGAACTTACAAAGGCAGCGAGAGCACTTCAATGATCCAGCCACCTTGGAAATATCACGACCTTGCTCGGTAAGCCTCTGCTTCCGCAGGTTCTTCGATCGCGGTCCTCTCTCCTTGTATTGCTTTCTACCTAGGCGGTCCTCGCGGGTCCTCTGGCACGTGAGAGAGAGGTACTTGGACACATCAAGGAGCCTCGTCATCCGAGAGAGGCAGTTCTCATCTACACACTTATCTCACAAAGCTTACCTCTGGCAGGCCTCCCCGCTTGGCAGTTACCCCCGCGAAATGGTCGGTGACACCGTTGACGACTAATCCCTGGGGGGTCAGGCGGTGGGCGGACACTTGCTTGAAGGTGCTGGGGCTCTTGCACCACTGGACCTTGCGCTTTGGCAATCGGGAGGTAGTCAGTGTACACGGTGCACCATACATCGCCGCCCACAAGGTTCAAACTCTAGACCAGGGCATAAACCTCAGCTCTGGGAAAGCTTTGATCGTCACCAGGAAGGGTCCCGAAGGTGAATCCAGAAAATTGCAGAGACCGTGGGTAACGCCGAACAGAAGACCAGGCGCACCTCCTTTTCCTCCTATCAATGGCACGCACTCCTCTTGACCCATCGCTCCCAAATATTCCTCCTCGTACCTTGGTGCATCTTCTCAGCGATTCATGGAACTATTCCCAGGCTCAAATCTTAGTCTCAACAAGTGGTAGGAATCCGACTCCAGTCTAGTTGGACAAGACCGCGGGTCCAGAAACCTTCAGGCTCGGGCACACTGCCAACCGAATCCTGGAACGTGTGGCAGGTAAGGTGGATAACATCATCATCGGTAGTTGAGTTAGCCCAACATTCCAAGTGCTTGTGCCATGGGGTCCCTGGTCTAGCTCCACTGCGATGACAGACACCGTTGCTGAGGTAGCCTGAGCCCTTCAGGCGCATGCCAGGCCACTGTTCATCTGCTGCAAGATGGTTCGACACAGCGACTCCATCGTATTCGTCTTGCTTAGAGAGGGAGCTGCGAAGCTTCCTCTGCATAGTAAAAGCAGCACCTTTTATGCAGCATGCACTCGCGCACGGTCGTGTGCGAGTTGACGGCCGCCTATCGTTATTCCGTCTCACTCTACGGCGCAGCCTTGCTGTGGTGGCATGCAGCCAATGAGGTCGGGGTCTCCCAGCACAAAACATAAGCTCTGGAGGCTTGTCAACCACAGCAACTACCTGCTTAGGAACAATTCTCCAGCGTATGAATGGAACATCACGTCGATCAACACGGAGGGTCACATCAGAAAGCAGCCACATGCAGGGTTCCATGGTTCCCGCTGAGCTACAAGACACACATGATGACCGACGCGGTGGGCCCTCGAACGTGACGCCATCGGTGAGCAGTGGGGACTCCTCGAAGTTTCGCCAGCATCTGTGGCCAAATTTGTTTCACAGCGCTAGTTGTTGAGGGCTTTCAGGGGACGGCTCCATTTAAAGAGATGCTCATGTCGTATCTTATACGCAGGGTCGTCGGACATGGCATGTCCCAGGACAAGTAGGGCAGAGGTACAGCATCCTGCGTGCCACCAGCTTGAGGCTTCAGCAGCTTGAGCTCACCACTGGCGCGTCTGAGATGGCGGCGTACCTATCACCTGGCGGATTTAATCTCCTATAGCAGCGATTCCAGGTCTGAAACAGGTTTCTCGCGTGTGGGTTCGTGTGGGGGCCAGGAAAGTGAGTTTCTTCGATCGACGCTTGGTTTCCTCCTTCCCCTGTCCCATCTTCCACATCGTCCTTCTCCTCCCCGCCGTAGTCCCAACCCTCTAACCCTTGAGAGCATCAACGAGGCGGAGCGGAGCATTCCACTCATCGCAGAGGGCTTGGAAAAGGTGGCCAGCTTTCTGGGACGAGGCCACGACACACGGCGGCTGGCACCAATGTAGCAACAGTATCTTGCACTAAGCCTTGGATGCGCTGCGTCAGGTCATCCACGTAGGGTGGAATGGGCACACGCGGTACACGGCAATGGGCTAGATATCATAGAGATCGAATTCTTATCCAAGGCAGCGATCGGGAACACCCAGCAAGAATAAGTTGGCTCGCCTGCATCACCCCTGACACCAGGGACAGGACCTCAAGAAGCCTAGGAGAGGTGGGGGCCCAGAGGCCCGAGCAGAGGAGTAGAGGGAGTAGTCGACGGCCTGCGCCAAGTGGACCAGCTTACCTGGGTGGATGATGCCGAACGACTGTTCCATGTCCCAAATGCCCGGAACAGAAAAGACCCCTGCTTCACGAGCTCACTCATCAACCATTTCCCTGAGCATGGCAGCTCTCAGAGCCGACGAGCTTTTCACAGCCGCGTCCCAGTGGGCAAGGTGGGTGTCAGTCCAGTTCTGGATCCGATTACCTCGGACACGGGTATACATGCGGTGCAGAGTTGGGTACCTAGTGATGGGCCTCTCAGAGGTGGGGGTTCCGGGCGGCACCGATCAACCAGATGGGGAAACTCGAGAGCATATTCAATGCCGCTAAGCAAAGTGGCCAGGTGATCAGTTGCATCAGCTGGGAGCCGCAGGAGGTCGCGAGAAGACTACCCATCGACACGAATGGCCGCTTCAGCAGGGGAACGCTTGCACGCAGCAAGGACGTCCTGGCCCTCGCTGCTGCGGGCCTCCAGCGCCTCCATCTCGGCAACAGGGCGCAGACGCGTTATGGCGTGCTCGAGATCTCCAACCTGTTTAGCAGTGGGTATCCACCAAGAGGCCCAGAAAACTTCACGGTAACTCATCAACATTTGGGGGTTTGGGGCTCATCAAAGAGTGTGAACAACATTCCGATTTCTGTCTTGGAATCGGAACGCAACCAGCGGTGACTATGCTTAGCATCCCCCATAAGCCCCTTGGTCAAGGAGGCCTGGGTGTCGACGCGATTAGTTGTTCGAGCTGGGACCCGCGCGCAACGAAGGACAGGGATGAGGGCTCCTTGGATAACTTTAAGTTTTTGGGGGTCAGCTCTTGCGACCACCCAGTCCATGCATTGGCCTGTCACCCAGTCCATGCATCGGCTTGTCGCGCGTCGACAAGTCCTTCAGGATGACGGCCGACCTCATCACCGCGAGCTCGGAGAAGACTCCTGAGCGCGGTGACCTGCGTGGTTCTTCCTGAGGGCAAACGCAATATCGTACAGGCGGGGCGAGATCATCGTCCAAGAAGCAATGCCGGGGTGCGAAACACCCTGTTGCATGATTCCTCTCTTGGGTAGGGTCTGCTCCTGCACAACTACTGCGCCTCCAGAGGCCTCTTGAGCACAACGGGGTTGCACAGCAGCGGCATCCTTCTTCTTCTTCTTCTACTTATGATTTGTTTATCCTCATTGAAATTGAAGCCGCCTTTCTTCTCCTTTGCCGCAGCGTGGGCTGCTTTGGCGTCGTCAAGGTTGGTGCACGTTTCGGCGAACGCCGCCTCGGCCTGCCTGACCTTGTCACGAGCCTTGATGAACACCTCCTGCCGTGCAGACCGCCCTTGCCAAGCCAGTCGCTCAGCCTGTGTGGCCTCTTACACACCTTTGGCCAAGGAGGTACGTTCACCTGCCACCGCAGCGTCCAAGTGTGCATCAGAAGAAACATGGGGCGGCGGGGTAGGCAGAAGATGGACAGCAAGTACATCACGTAGTCCAGGGAATTGGGCAACAGCAGCTCTCTCATGTCCAGAGAGGTCCAGGAGATGTGAGGCGACCGCCGCAGTCGACCCACCCGTTGACTTGTCCGCGCAATCGTAGTAGGCACCGCCACATACGCTGCAGGCAGCGTGGCCGCTGTAAAGGAGTTCTCAGTGCCCGCACTTGCTGCAGACGACTTAGGACGAAGACTTGGAGCCATCGCCATCATCACGGCGTTGGCGAACATGACGGCCTGCACCACGGCAGTGTTGACCAGTTTGCTTGAGCCAGGGATGGGGAACGCGCCGATGTCAACGTCCACGGCATGGCATGCACGCTGCTCCCGAAGATCATTGTTGGGAAATGGGGAACCGAGAACAAGTGCCCTGACTGCCGCGGACTAGCGGTATCCTCGCTTTGCCACAGGCAGCAAGCATTTTGAGCCAGAATGGCTACGGGAACGTGCCCCGGGGGGGGGGGGTCCTGGGAGTAGCGGGATCGGTACCATGCTGGGGTTTCCCGAGGACGGAGCCCCAGTGGCGCAGCGCACAGCGGGCGGTGGAGCGGGCGCATGCGTCCAGAGTCGGCATGAAGAGCGTCAGTATCGATGCGGCAGGCCTTGTGCCACACCCGCCAGCCCCCTGGTCTTGATCGATCTCAGAGTGGGTTTTGAGGGGGCAGGCCTCCTCTTCCCCCTCTATCCGCCTCCTCCTCCTCCTCCTCCCCCTCTCCAGGCTTCGTTCACTCCTCCTTCTCCCCCTCCTCCTCCTCCTCATCCTCCTCCTCCCGCTGCTTGCCTCCCGCCATCTTTCCCGCCTTTCCTTCTACCTCGCTGCTTGCCTCCGTCTTCCCCCCTTTCCTGCTTACCCTCCCTCCCTCCTTCCTTCCCTTTTTTTCGCTCTCACCTCGCTGCTTGCGGCTGGTTGCTGCTCCACTGCTTGGCTTGCTGATTCACGCGGCCTCTCGCTGCTGCGTGTTGCTGCAGAGTGCTGCTTCTGCTGCTGCTGCTGCTGCAATTGCTTCATGCGCTGTTGGCTCAGCTGCTGCGGCTGCTGCTGGAGGGCATCGGTTACTTTTGAGGCATGTTGGGAACTCCTTGGGGCGCTTGGGAAGCCTTCGTGCAGTCTCTTACGCAGGCGGTCTTCGGAGGCTCCTGAGTCACTCTGGGTGCGCCTTTGGTTCTCTGAGGCTGGCTGGGGTGTCTGCGCGCGAACATGAGGCCGTTTTCCGTCGTCATCGTAACCCCTTGGGGCTGCATAAGTTGTCTTTGGGCGTCTCGTTGACGAGTTCGGGGGCCTGTTTAACCTGACCTCGAGAGTGTTTTTGAAATTACTTGAAGCCGTAACGTCCGTGATGGGGGTGTTGTCCTCCCCCCCCGTAACGGTATCGAACGTACGCGTGGGTGGTGCAAGGCTTCCCCTCAGGTGTAGCTCTATGCTCACGGGCGGGCTGTGGTGTTGACAGGCATGCTTTGGTGCTCACACGCGTGCTCAGGCGTTCGCAAGCATCCGGTTCGCGGTTCGCCCAGAATGGCAGGAACGCTAGGAATGCGGTGTTGTTGCTGCTCCTCCTGCGGCTGCTCTGGTGCTCCTGCTCCGTTGCTCCTGCTGCTGCTCCTCCTGCTGCTCCCCCAGCTGCTCCTCGTGATACTCTTTTCCTGCTGCTTCTGCAGCTGCCCCTGCTGGTCCTCCTGCTCCTCATCATGCTGCTCCTGCTGCTCGTTTCTCGTGCTGCTACTCTGGCTGCTCCTGCTGCTCTCCTCCCTGCGGCTGCTCCTCCGAATGCTCTTGCTCCTAAGGTGTTCCTCCTGCTTATGCTCCTTCTCCTGCTCCCCCTCTCCCTCTTTCTCCTGCTCCTCCTAAGCTGCCGTGCTCTTTCTCCAGTGCTCCTCCTGCTGCTCCTTCTGCTACTCCTGCTTGCTGCTCGCGTGCTCATCCTTGCTCCTTCTGATTCCGCTGCGCTTCCTGCTGCTCTGGTGCTCTCATTGCGGTTCCTTTTGCTGCGCCCTTTCTGTTTGTGTTGCTGCTCCGTTTGCTGTTCCTCCTGTTGCTTTATGTTTGTGTTCCTTCTGTTCTTCCTGATGCTTTCCCGTTTCTCCTGCTGCTCCCCCCTCCTGCTACTCATCCTGCTGCTGCTCCTCCTGCTGCGTTTACTGCCTCTACAACAGCTGCTTCTACTACTATTGCTGGTACTGCTACTGGGGACCATTTTTGCCCACCCAAGGAATAACACGTGATACTCCCCCTACTCCCCCCCTGCCCCCCCTCCCCCCCCCGTAACGGTAACGCCCCGGCCCGGTCCAGCGCGCGATCCCGGGCAGCTTATAGGGCTTGTGGTGCACGCAGGCATTACAAGTGCCGCGGTGCACGCGGGCGTGCACTATGGTGTGCACGGGCGTTGTGGCGCACACCAGTCGATGCAGCAGCAGGTGGTGTACACGGGCATAGTGTGCATACGCAAGCATTACGGCGTACACATCACAAGCCCTATGTGTACACAGGCGCCGTGATGTATACAATCGCTGTAGCACGCAAGGTCGCTATAATGTAAGCGTGCGTTCTGGGCTAGAACGTGCCCGCGCATGTCTTCCTACTTCTTTCTCCTCTTCTTCCCTCTTCATGTTCGTCCTTCTCGTCGTCGCCCTCCTTGCGCATGCAGGACGCGGGCATTGTGGTGTACACAAGCATTGTGGTGAACACAAGCTTTGTGGTGCATGCAGGCGTGGTGTTTCACATTCGCTGTGGGCTCAAAATTTCCAAGCGTGTCTCGGGCCAGAAAACAAAGACTCACAATCAGATCACACATTGAACATGATACAGTCGGACCCCCAACGATTCCCCAGACTTTGGCTCCGTCGGGGCCGTAGAGGTGTACAAAAGCATTGTGGTAAATGAAGGCACTGTGCACGGTGGGGTACTGAAGCAGCAGCTGTGGTGTCAGTAATCACAGGCGTTGCGGTGCACACGGCTGCCGTGGTGTACACAGTCATTGCGCTGTATATATAGGCGTTTTCATGCTGAGACGTATGGTGCCATCATGGTGTGCATCTTGGCAGTGCTCTTGGAAAAAGAGCGCGGGCCCCGCGCTGTCGACTCCATCGCGGGGTTCCTTTAATTCCTCCTGCTCTTACTGCTGGTGCTGCTGTTCCTCCTGCTATTCCTGCGTGTATTCTCTCGGCTGACGCCGCTCAGCGCGCCCCCAAGCCGCATGGTGGTCACGGGCGCCGTGGTGCGCGCAGTGGCCATGACGCGCGCAGTAGGTATGGCGTGCACAGGCGTTGTGGGCTCAACATTTCCGAGCGTTCTTTGGGCCAGGAAAACAAATGTCCACAATCAGTTCGGAGATTGAATTTTAGACGTCCGGACTCCCATCGATTTTCCGGAGTCTGGTTCCGTCGGTACCTTCCGGTGTAGACAGGTTTTGTGATGTATGCAGGC